AAAAGAATTCAGAACTTGTTGGAAAAAAAATACCTTCGAGGTGTAAAATTTGCCATATAATATAATTGATAATTCGCAAAGGGCTCTTCTAACCTTTGAGTTTTAGCAAGTTGATTTTTAAATTAAGTCGAAAGATAAGAAATAAAATAATATATGCACGGACAGTGGATTTCAACTTTAACTAGAGCATTTTAAATTCAATTTTGCTCTCTTTGTGTAAATGACTATTTTTAAAACAAAACAAGTATGTTCAAGATTCAGGAATAATTTGGCAAAATTGTTTTTTAACCTCATTCCCAAATTGACATCACCGGAATACTGTTTTTAATTTGGCAATAACAATAAGCCAGGCAAATAATTCGTGTCCTAAAATTCAATAATTTTGATAAATTTAAAAATAATATTAAAAATTTCAGTCTAAAATTAGAGATATTTTAAGTTTGAACATAAAAATTTAGTTTGACCTTCATTCAGAAATAAAATAAACAAAAAATTGTTCAATAATTAATTTCAGATGGGAAGAAAACACTCTGATTTTATAATTAAATTATGGAAAAATTAAGGTAAATGCTTTTCTGAGAGAGTATTGGTACCTTTACAAAAAACCCAAGAGGATTTGCTTGTCGCCGAATGCCGTCTTAATTCTCAAGCTGGGGTGAGATTTGTCGGTCTACCCGCCTTTTTTGCTCCTATTTCTTCTTTTCCCTTTCCCCTCTCTTTAAATACCTTTATTTGATTAAGGCAATTAAAAGCTCCGGAGCACCTCTTTGCCGTTAATCAGCTTGGCGGCGGAAATTGGATTTTGAGCCGGCTCCATCTGAATATCACCCGCTTTTTGCACCAGGCCAATTTTCCCTGGTGACTCACTTTCAGCCGCCGCCTGTAATGAAAACGGATTACTATATATTTTCCGCGTGAAATGAGAGCCGGTTTAACTGATTTATTTGGTATAAAAAAGCATCAAATGGAAAAATAAATTCAGAGGTGGAAACTTTTGGGTCGGTAAAACACAAAAAAAAGCATCTCATTTATTTTAGGTTTAAATTATTATTATCTGAACGTTTTTGAAATCGGCTTTAATTTATTTCTTAATCCGTTTTAGTTTTCCGAACACTGAAACATTAATAAGCGCAAAAATTGCAAAATTTTATAAAATAGAATGGAAAATATTATTTTCGATTGAATGAAAAAGAAAGAAGTATCAAAATGAAAAGGGAATTAATACAGGTATAATAGGCAATCGTACAAAAACAGCATGCTTTTTATATTCAGGTGAAACTCATTTTGAAAACCCTTCGCAGATTAGCTGAACATAAAACAGAGCTATTCGGCAATTCGGCGCACTCATAAAGCTTCAGCAAAACCAAAAGTGCCGGCAGTCAAATGTGTTTGGTGAAAAATCAAACTCGGGTGCTTAATTTCCGCATCAACTGAGCGAAGCCTTTCAAATAACGCACTGCGCGCGCGGTGTTTAATTACTCGCGATCAAAAATAATTATTCGATTCAAAAGCCATTGTGCCGCGACCACTTTTGCTTTTAAAACTTTTCGCCAAAAGCGACCCTCTTTATAAATATTTCTTTTCAACTGCGAGGAGGAATTATTTGAAGAATAAAAAAAAGGGCGCAGAGTTGATTGAAGCAGATCAAAACTCTCTCTCATTTTGCCTTCTGTGTAGAGCTGCTTTTGGTTTTTTTTTCTTTCTTTTTCTTCTTTTGTGTGCTGTGCGCGCTTTGATATAATCGAGGCCGATCTAACAAAATGCTGGCGAGGCCTTTTCACACACCAGGGACCTCCCGCGCGAGATGACACGATTCTCCCTGCCGACGCGATTTTTCAGGCTCGGGAGGTGGGCCAGTCCGGGCCTAATCTGACCTGCAGAGCACAAAGGTCTGCCGGCAAATGTGGTATGTAATGATAATGGTAATAACAATGCGGCGGCGGCTCTCAAGCTTTGTCCCCGGTAATAAAACGTGGAGGCTTTCGAAACCCCGTCCGCGCCGCCAAATAGGGGTCCCTTTTTCTTCTGATTATTTTTTTATGCTTTTTGTTGCAGACCGTTTATTGAGCAATCGGCTCTGTTTTTTCTAAACTTTTGTCATTTTAATGAAAACTTGCAGGCAGCAAATAAAAAAAATTATAAGCATTTATAATTAAAAAATAATAAATTACATTGTTTTATCAGTGTGATTACTTAACATGCTAATTACTCATTCAAAAAGCTACGAAACAAAAAATGAAATGATGGAATTAACTTCCAATTCGATGCAATTTGTTTTCAATCAAAATATTTATTTAAAAATGGAATATAAATATCATTATAATCAAAAAGGATTTCTTACAAGTAATGGTATTGAGATGAGACACCCCGATTTTGATGAAAATTGGTGTACAACTTCTACTACCCATTGGTACCCCAGCATGGCTATTAATTTTTGCCCAATTTTCCTTGTTCAAGTTTTTCCATTTAAACTCCATGTTATTTGAATTACATTGGAGAAATCGAAAGTATGCAAAATATATACACAGAGGACGCTTTTGTTGCCTATATTTCATCGTTTTTAACATGCGTTTAAATGGAAACTACCAAAACCCCTGTGAAATTGGGCAACTTTTGATAGCCATTCCTGAACACCCAAAAGGGTAGTGCAAGTTGCATACCAACTTTCATCAAAATCGGCGTGTCTCATCTCAATAACATTACTTGTTAGAATTTTTATAAATCGTCAAATGAAAGAATTTCTGCGAAAATTAAGTAACGATTTTTTTTTAAAGCGTGAAATTAATTAAAGCAAACGTCGTTATGAAAGAAAGTTTTGCGCTGGAAATATGAAATTCACACACACACCGGGAGGCAGACGTCTGCGTTTGTCATTTGCGCCAAAATCAATTTTCAATTACCCACTTCCTTTGTGCACGCGCCTCTCTCTTTGCAGTTTTGCTCTCTCGATCCGTGGCGCTTTTGATGGCACCGGCGGCTTTTTACGTTTCCAATCGTTTCGCCCTTGCATCTAATTCACTCTCTCCAGTGAGCGGCTCCCATGATTTTCCCACTTATAAATTTTTCCGCGTGCACCTCGGGCGCACCATATAATATATTTCAGAGAGAGCGAGCGAGTAGCAAATCGGAATAAAGTGTCATGTTTGATGGAACGGTCGGCTCTCTCATGATGAGCTCGAATTCATTTCCTCGAGAGCTTTTTTGCCGTCATATGAATTATACCGCGCGGGACCCTTTTTCTATACGAATTACTTCATCAAAAGCACCGGAAAAGCGCCTTTGATTCAAGCGTGGAGAATTTTTATATTTTATATTCCACAGAGAAAGAGTTATTTTCATCATTTGTTTCTCGGAATAAAACGTTTAGTCACTCGGTGATCGATGATGATTCAGTTTGCCTGACGAGATTAATAGTTTCTTATGTATAAAAATTCGGTACAAAAGAAAATCCTTTTGATTGATTAATCGTCCGCATTGACAGCCTACAACGCGTGTTTATATACTTCATTTGCGAAAAAAGTATCAAAAAAATTTTAAGAGAGGGAGATTATTTTCCGGATGAATATTTCATGCAACGAAAATTCCGATGCGTGCGTGTGCGGTATGAAATTTATACGCCGGAATTTGATTTCCATTCGACACGAGATATAATCTGGTCGGTTCGCTATTTCTGGTCCACTCTCGCGGCCGCCGAGCTTTTTTGTTTTATGAAATTCCCAATGTGAACTTTTGCAGCCGACGAGCACACGGAAAGTGCGCGATTTTGATATTTTCATTTATTTATTGTTTGGCAGGATTTCGCCCTCCCTCTTTATGAATAAATCAGTTTTTGTGCGTGATTTTGATTAATATTTTGAACCGCTCTCTCGTCAGTCTGACGCGCGTGGATGTATATTTATATATTTTGTGGCTCCACTGTTTGCTCATTTCTATCCGAACGGGAAAAGCCCGTGAAAATTAATTTTGCAAATATTTTCCGTCTGGCGCTGGTGTTTCGAAATGAGTGCGTTTGGCTTTGTGTTTTAATGAGTTTCACACAAGATTGCTGCAATGTTTGTGCACGAAATCAACACGTTTAAACGAACATTTTGATTAAACGTGCTGCCTTGTTGATTGTGGCTGACAACGGGAAATTTATTGAAAAGTTGGCCCTGAAAATCACCGCAGACCGGCACGTGCAAAATTTGCGGAAAATATTATTGCTTGCCAAACATATAGAGCCGCAAGCCAAAATAAGTTTTAGTTAGGGTGAAAAGCGAACAAGTTTATATGTTGGGTATATATAATTATTAATCAATTAATAATTTAAAATAAAAACTATTGAAGGCTAAAACGATCGGGCAAAATCAATTATTTTAAAATTAATTATGCTTATGCAATGAGAGGACACTTTAGTTGTAAAATTTTTAAATTATAAAATTTTATAATATAATTTTTTGTTTTCACTGACCAGAACTTTTGAAAATGTAATAAATATCTAATTAAAATTTCTTTATTTTATATTTTTAAATAATAATAAACAGTGAAAAACAAATACAATAAAAAGGAATTTTTATATGATTTAAACTAAAACAATAATAAGTATTTAAAAATATTACTTTTACTTATATTTTTAATAGCTTCACAAAATATGGAAGCTAGAAACGAAATTTTGTATTTTACACTGAAATTATATATTTTATTTCAAAATATTTTATTTTCAAAGATTACCTTTTGTGAAATTTTTCCTCTCAAAGTTTTCGTTTTTACTATTGCTACCGATTGACACTAGTTAAGTTAATATTTCTTAAAGCAAACATTTGCATTTTCAAGAAAAGCAGAAAAGAATTTTAGTTTTAAGTCTTGTTTAAGTTTCCATTATAAATTCATTTGAATTAGTGAAAATTGAATGTAATCAAAAATGATAAACAATTTGATGACTGCTTTTGATCTCTTCTTGTGCCTGTTTGTTTTAAACATAAATATTTTATTAAAAAACCATTTTGAAATGCGTGTTGCAGGGTTGATGTTTGTGGCGGCGCTGTGCGTGCTGCTGTCCGGCCGGGGGGTGTCCGCGTCGGAGGTGGACGAGTGGACGCACTCGGCGTGGCTGGACGACCGGTACCTGGTGCGGTGGACGCCGGGCGCCGACGACGTGACCTTCGAGGTGAGCGTGGCCACGCTGGGCTACGTGGGCTTCGGCCTGTCCCTGGACGGCCGCATGCAGGGGTCGGACGTGGTCATCGGCTGGGTGCAGCACGGACGCACCATCTTCCAGGACAGACACGTGTCCAAGGGCCACGTGGAGCCCATCGTGGACGCCAGTCAGGACTGGGAGCTGCTCAGGGGCATGGAGAACGACACCCACACGGTGCTCACCTTCCGCAGGGCCTACGACACCTGCGACCGAGATCAGGACATCAGAATCACGGTAAGACTTCTGCAGTTTTAAATGATTTTAGGATTTCTTGAAAAGCTTGAAAGTTTCTATAGATCAATAGCCTAGTAGAATCTCTTGACGCCAGAGTAAAAAAACTTGCAAAATGAGGTGAAATACAGAAAAAAAATAAAATTAGGCTTGTAGGTAAAAAATTCACTGTAAAAGAGCTTCTTCAATTAATTAATATGATAAGCTTTAGTGCATAACATCATTGACAATTGGCCAGTCTTGTTTAATGAATTTATTCAAATAAATATCTTTCTATAAAACAATAAAAGAAAAGTATTTTTATAAGAAAAACCTGCAATTCTAAAATTCTGTAAGTAAATTACATTAATTTTTATTAAAATATATATTTAAAAAACACAAAAGCTTTTAATTTAAATAATATTATATTAAAACAAAATACTTTTTGAACCTACAAACTGCAAAAATATTTAATAAAAATCTTTAAAAAGCATTAAATAATTATTTTTAAATATTTAATAATTTAATTAATTTCTACGGCTCAAACATTTTTTTATTTATAATTCAAATTCTTATGCTGCTTTGAAACATATTTTAAAGAGCAAAAAATTAAACATGCTGTATTTTTTGTTTCAATTTCTACTCTCTGAGCAAACAAAAGTGTCACTGCATATTCGGAGATTAGAGTATCGTCACGAATTTTCCTCTCCGAGAGGTGAAAAGTGTGTGATAATCGTCCTTAATGACACTGTTTGTGTGTTTTCACACAAAATATGTATGTGACAAACACACACGCAGACGGATCTTCCTTCAGAAAATATGATGAGTCAGCAGTATTGCACAGAAGTGACCAATGTTGTTCCCTGCGACAGATTGTGTAGAGAGATAAATCTTTTTTCAAGCGGGAAGGAAAATACAAATAAATCGCTGACAGCTCATGAAAAGGCGATGAGGAGTTGACCGTTTTTCCGCCTGTTTACGTAATATGAATTCTTGCTGACCTCACTTACAGTGATGATGTGCTGCAACCCAATTTTTTAGCATTAAAGAGCGCACGACAAATTTAAAAATAGTATCAAATTAAAATAAACATTAGAATTTTAATAAAAAAAAAAGTACCAAGCAGAGCAAAGAATTGTTCTTATTATTTTTTAAATGCAAGTTGATGCAAATTTTTTAATTAATATAACTAGACAGTCTAGAATACTTTTAAAAACCTTTGTTATAATTTCCATAAATTAAAACTATTTGCATCAGAATTCACTGCATAATTTTTTCTAATTGTTTTTATGTTAAAAAGTAATACGGAGAGAAAGTCTATTAAAATTTCTTATGGTAATCTGCAAATTTCAAGAGTAAAAAAAAACAGGTTTTACTGTCTCAAAACTTATTTTCAGTCATAAAGGAACAATTTCAAAGTGAATTAAAAAAAAATCACTTTTACATCCTCTCCAGTTTGTAAGTCTACTTTTGTAAACTATTTAGGAGCTAATGCATGACTGAATCTTTACGCAATAATCTTCGAGGATGTAAAGCATATTTTAATATTTTCAAGTATGGCAGACCCTTTAATCACAATGCAAAAACCATCTAGCCTCTCTTGTAATGGGTACTGCAATTTCAAAGTGATGAAACTGTTGAGAGAGGCAAACAAAAACTAAAGAAACCGGCGGCGCTCACAGAGAAAAGAGACCAAGCAAGGCGCTTTTTAATACCCGAGACAAAAGAGAGCCGGTCGAGCGTCGCCTCTTGAAGTTTTGCTCGAGCGGATTCCAAAGATATATTTTATATACGTGGAGTATATAAAACTTAGTGGTCGCGTAATCAAAGGGCGAAAAATTGGGTCGATTTTGGTTGCGCGGCGCGGTCTGTGAGCGAAAAAGACAGAGGATCTTTTCTTGGTCGATTCCCGGGCGCAACAGTGCCCGCGCAAGTCCGCTTTGGGAAATTTATTTATTACAACGAGAGAGTGCATCTGATGTAGTTATATTCGTGGCCGAAATAAATCAATTGCACGGCGCAGGCAGAGAGAGCAATATTAATGAGCGAGGCTCCCTCTCTCTGTGAATTTCACGCACACGCAGTTGACTGGGGAACAACAACAATCACCACTGAAATACAAACTGTTTTTCTATAGAAAAAAGTGAATAATGGTGACCGTATTAACTTAAGTCGGCTAAAACAACCGACTTAAAATAATTAAATTTTCTGTTATGAAAATGAAATTTAGAAATTTTATTATTTTTGTTGTTTATTTGTCCAAATTGTTAAATCTCATTGTTTGCATTCAATTGTAAAAAAATCATTCATTTGAAAAGAAAAGAGCTGTTTAATGAGCCTTGGCTGACTTTGTGCCTGTTTGTTCAACTTTATTCAATTTAAAAAGAAAAAAATATAAAACCATTTAATCCTCACTTTTTCTCATTCAAGTATGCGATTAAAATCATCAGGCATATTTTTTATACCAATTTAAAATAATCCAATAAATTAAGCATTGAACCAAAATAATTAAAAATATCAACAATAAAATTAACTCTTTTGCAAAATGCTAATAATTTTGCAGCTTCAAGACAACTCTTTTGCGTCGCTCTCATTTAAATTACACGAATGTCTTAGAAATGATCGAAACAATTTATACTTCCTCTGAATCAAAATTTTGGTAGTTTTTCTCATTTTCAATAATTTAAATCTTTAAAATTAGAAGGTGAGCTTTTTTTTCATTTCCCAGTTAAATTCAATAAGATTTAACTTTTAAAGATCCGTTTTCTGCAGCACCGTGGGGCATTAGTGGCAAAATCAGCGATCGCAGCGCCAATGTGACCAAATTCTGTAGTTTTTGGAACAAACTGATGGATCTGATTGGCTACTCAATTCTCACACTTTTTCGCGCGAATCACTCGTATTTAGGTTTTCTTTTGATTGAGACGCCAACGGTTTGGAATTTTCAAATTGTGTTTTCACTGGTTTTCACAAGATATACTCGAAATTTAGCAATCTTTCAGAATAAAGAGCAATATAAATGACCGGAGTGGATCTTTAAAATATAATTATTTGAATTAAATGTTATGCTTTGGCTTGAATTAAACCAAAATGTTTTTCAAATTGAATTAAAAACACTTAAAAATATCAAGCGAAATTAGAATTTAGTATAAATTACGATAAATTATATCATTTTGTGTTGAAACTTTAGCCATCTATGGCCATATTTTCACCGATTTTTGATATTTTTTTAATGTCTAATTTTCCACATGATTTATTAAGATAATTCTTCACTTATTTTACTTTGCATTTTTTGCAATGTTATTTGACAAGCTCATCCCATAAATCAAAACTAATTTTAAGGGCGTAAAATATAGAAAAGAAGAATGAATTATCTTTGTTCCTTTTTACTCCGTTTGTCTCCACAAATCGGTTGCTCGAGATTGGCGGTGTTCCCTTGGTGAGCAAAGTTATTATTGCAGCGCAGCTTCGTGATTTTATTGAAGCATTGATTTTAGCACAATAGAGCTGCAAAGAGCAAGTCTATTATCGAGCTGTGCCGATGTCTTTCTCCGACGGCCGCGCGCACAAGCGTAATTATTCCGCATGAAATGCCGTGCTCCTAGTTAATTAATATTTAATTGCTCTTTCGCTTTGTGCGCGCCGAATATCTTGTGAGCGCAGCGAGCGCGCATTATTATTATTATTAACGCAAGCTGCGCTATCGTCCGGTGTAATCTCTCGTCAAGTAGACTTGTTGGAAAATGGAAAAAGTCGGAGCCGCGTCGCCCCGCCGGATTTTCCATGTCAACAGTCAAGTGAATTTTTCCATAACACTCGACGCGCTCCGCCAAGTGGGCCGCGTTTGGTCTGAAAATAAATTGTTGGGGAAAGAGAGGAAAATTTATAATTTCATCACTGAATCTTTTTATAAAACATGCTAAATTAGAAATATTGTTAAAATTGCAGACTTCACATTTTAGACGAGGGTTCAATTAGATTTTTGTTAACAAATAAATAAATTGTTGTTATAAATCTAAACAAACATCTTTAAATCTCAGCTGCAATTATTAGGTTTATTTGCATATTTATTCTTCACTTAGATACGGAGGTCCACATCTTAAATTGGATAATTGAGGTTCTCAATAGTCTAGTTTTTTCTTCCATAGACATAGGTTCAAATCTTTTTTATAAAATATCAATTAAAAATACCGCCAAACTAAACCTAACAAAAGTTAGTTCAACTACAGACTGAATTATTTGGTTTTGGAAAACGTCTTATAAATAATTTGGATTTTGTAATGATTCCTATAATAATCATTGTATAATGTGATGTATCGATTTGTACAATAATAATAATAATACAAATAAACAACAATAATAATAAATAATAAAAGTAATAATATTCTTTAAAATTAAATTTAATACATAATTTTTTAAAACTAAATCAATCTTTTTATTTTATTTAAAAAAAAAATGAAGGCAAAGTATGAATATATCTTGAAAGGCCATTCCTCTTGTATTAAATACTATCCAAAATAATTATATACTAATTATTATTTTAACAAAAGATTTTAAACCCTAGCATGAAGAAGACCTTGGAAAATAAAAAAATTAAATGATTTAAATGTAATCTGATGCAAAATCAATATATTTAATTTAAATTGTCCTTACGCAAATCGAGAACAAAAGAATTCGTTTTATAAGGAAAGTTCCGGTTACCCCTTTCTCTGACTGTTGTGCATAGAGTAAAGCCCTGTTGGCATAAAATACAATATACTCGCGGAATATGAAATATGCTCGATCCGCTCTTTTCTTTTTGAAGATGTAACGCCGCGGGGCGCGCAATATATATGAAAATAAATAAAAAAGAGAGAGGATGCGTGTCAACGGCGCTAGGAGAGTTTGCCCGGTTCGCGAGATAAGCGCCTCCAGTGTCATTTCTTATATTTCTGCCAGCAAAATAAAAAAAAAGGAAGAGAAAAAACGCAATTTTTTCGCAATTATTAAGCGCGGCTCATTTTTATTCCGCGCCGGTGGCTTAATAATGGAAGGGAAAATGTCTTAAGTACAGGCTCGGGTGGAGGATGAATATTTTAAAGTTTCCATATCATCTGCGAGCGAGCAGAGGGGCCTTTTCTTATTTGCCTCCTACTTAGGTTTCCCATGCATGCACGCACGAGAAAAAATGATTTGCGGCCGGGATGGCCGCGCGCAAAATATGCGCGCGAGTATGCTAAATAATTTTTCAAGACGCGCTACGTGTATAAGGAGGAAATTTTATTCCCCCGCAGACTCTGATACATATAATGTATATTCATGGTGCAGCAGCAAAAACTGGTTTTGCAGTGGTTACGAATCAGCGGGCATTGCCTGCAAAAATATCACACGCGCGCACCCGACGAAAAATTAACTTTTTAACTTTTGCCCGATGGACAAAATCCGCCGGGCCCGATCCTTTTTTTTTTTGTTGCTTTAATATATATTAAACGGTGGATTCTTTTTCGAACTCGTAATTTCATCGTGCTTGTGGTGCCAAGAACTTTATAAGAGACGATCTCACAACTTTGGAGCAAATTCTTTTCCACAGCCATCAGCAAAAGAGTTTGTGCGCAAGAGAATTGCTTAGAATTTAGAACTAATGATGTAATAAGACTCTATAAGATTTGTGATGTTTTCATCGCTCCCAAATAAATGAAAAGTTTTCATTGGTAGAAAAAAAAACAATTATTTTTTATTCATATCGTTCTTCAATATTTAAAAAGTGCTCTTCGTTAAAAATAAGTTTGGTTTAGCTCACATAATTTCAATTCTATTTCAAATATAACCTTGATTTTTTTCCTCTGCTATTTTGTTAAATTAGGTTGTAAGATTTTAAAAATGTAAATAATTACATTTATTTTTCATATTGAAATCTACTCATCTTCATGTCTTGTTAATTTGACTGCAAATTCCTTTAATTAAAGATCTGTGCAATGAATAAAATTAGTTTAATGGAAGATGACAACAAACAGATGAATAAGCGATACATTCCTCAAAATTTGTTGACGTAGTTATGAACTACTTTTTTATATAATTTATCAAAGTATTATTTCATTAAATTTCAGAATATTATTTAATATTATAATATTAATATATCATGTAAATACAATATTAATATAATATGGTAATAATAATTATAATAACATTTAAATCTTAAAATTTTGAAATTAAAATTTAAAAAAAGTTTTAATAAAATTCTAATATTATTTTTTACTGTTCATTATTTATAAGACTGAGCTTTTACTTTGTTCGCATTTAAAATGAAAATAAATTTTACATTTGCGCCTTTTAATTATGATTCCTTTTCACTTTCGAGCCGCTTGTGAACATCTCAGTGCTCATCAGTTTTTTTTTCTTGTTTGTTATTTACAAAATTCCTGCGAAAAGACGCGCAGGCAGAGAAGTTTCAAAAGCCCTAATTAAATAAAATATGGAAAAGCGAGCTGTTTCGCCACGGCTTTAAAGGATTTAATAATTTGAATTGCCAATTAGCGATGATTTTCACTCCTCCCAAGAGTGAAATGAACGCCCGCTTTTTTGCGTCGGAAAACCGCGCCGCCGCCGCTCCGAACACAAAAGCGACTTTTCAAGGGAGCAGCGGCAAATTCCTCGGAGAGCTCAAGTGAATTTTTATTTTGCAAGGAGGAGCGCACGGTTAATAATTAAATGATATACCCTCCCCACCCGTCCAAACGTCTGTCCGTCGCAAGAAAAAGTTGCAAATGATGGCTGGCTGTTCAATTAGTGTCGAATGAGCAGTTTCCCCGCGGGGTGGTGAAGTGTTCAGGACGAGCCGCAGCTGCACAATTAAGAATTCAGGCACAGCTTTCCAGCATCTACTTGAATATTTATAAGTAATGAACGAGCGGCCGCGGCGCATATTTGCATGTTGAAAAATGCTCGGAAACCGGCCCATTTGCATGTGGCGAAAAAATGGCCTGTTTGTCCTCTCCGAGAAACTTTTTAATCCAATTCAATTTTCCTCTTTTGAAAACGTCGCTTTTCTCGCCAAAAGTTTTTGACTTTTCCTGCACAAATAAATACACTCCTATATATATTTGGATAATTTATTCTTCTGGCGTGTGTGCTGCTGTTTTTGCCAGGCACCGAGGCACAAATTAATTCATTTTCCTGCGTGAATTTTAAATCCGCCGCTGCCGTTGGAAAAAGTTTTCCACCATTTGAATAATTGTACAACTTTTGTTCGGATTAAAGCAGTGGAAAATTAGCGCCGCTCTACAATCGTCGTCGCCGAAATTAATTTTTCGTAAACACTAAAAATGGAGATTAACGTGTTTTGGCATTTCCAGAGCGATTCGTGCTCCGCCTGCTCGAATCTGCAATTCAAATTGGCCACGGACGCGCAGATATTAGTCACTTAAAACGCACAAACAAAAAAAGGAAAACTCTTTTGTCTGTGCAGAAATTTTCCATTTTTTGATTTTGCATAAAAGGGATTTTATTTGAGCTGTAAAACAATGAGGGAAATTTTTCTTAAAAAAATCACAATTTAAAAATGGGAAATATTGTGACAATTTCTGTCAAAAAGAAAAGTTTTTATGTTCTGATGAACACCAGTTATTTATAATGTCTTATGTCTTTATTTAACTATTAAATCGTTTTTAACATTATAAATTATAATTATAAATTATAATTATAATTTATAATATCTAATATATTTTAGTTATAAACCAATTTTCTGCTTAAAAATTTATTTTCATTTCTTTAAATTTTTATAATATTTTTTATTAGTAAATAGTCTTGTGCTCATATAAAACTTTTCTTTCTTTTGGTCAGCAAAGTTGCAGGTTTATTTTTCCTGAAAATATTAATAATAAAAGATATTGATCAAAAGTATTGTCATGAGCTATAAAATTTATAAATTTGTCAAGCTTCCTCTCCTTGCAACATTGATATCATTGGTATTGGTAATATTAATACTGCCTTTGCATTAATTAATTATGGCCCAACATATTATTATTCTCAAAAAAGCCAGAAAGCACAATAAGAGATACAAGATTCTCATATTTATATTCCATCAAAGGGATTAATTTATATGATTATTTGATTATTTTTAATTGAAATTCAGATTTAAAAAATTCAGCTTTTGCCGCACAAGTAGCTTTTGATGTTATCCAAGACAATATTTTGAATTATATAAGAAACTTTCAAGCAATATCAAGAATAAAAAGTTGTCGTCCGTGCATACGTTTCTTTTCATCTGTTGAAAAACCTCTCTCTCTTGAACGTTCATATATTCGAATAAAAATCTCCTCACTAAAATATCACTTGCGCAGCATTATTTCAGGATTATACAAAAACTAGTTTCCAATGCGAATAGGATGAGCTTATATGCTGCCGAGCACAGGAACGTTCGAGATATTCTCTCTCTCTAATAAATTTAGCGATAAAATGAGAGGAGCTTTTCAGCGTGCATATATAAAAAAAAGCAGCAAACAACAACACACACCAGCAGAGAAAAGAAAAGCAAAGTTTCCTCCTTGAGCATTTTAGCCGTGTGTGTTGTGAGAATAAAAAAAGCAAGAAAAGTCACCAGGCGGGCACCACCTCTGTTTAATTTCCATGTAAACCCTGACATTATTCGGGAGAGTAAAAAGGATGTATGAAAATTTCTTGCCGGATGCTTATCTGCGCGAACACGCTCATCAATAAATAAATAAGTAACGAGACGCCCGTTGCCTTTTCCCACAGAACGACACGATGAGGATGGTGTGGGCGTACCACAGCGAAGACCCCGTGCCCGGCCTGCCCCTGGCCTACCACGGGCCAGGCCAACGCGGCGCCAGGTCGGCCTTCCTGGTGCTCAGGGTGGACCAGTCGGCGCCGCCCAAGCACGAGGTCCTCCACACCTGGGAGCTGCGCAACCCCTCGGTGAGTAATTTATTACGCCCTGCCCACCCCCGACCCCCACGCGTGTCGATCGATGCCAAGTTTAAGGACGGATTTGCCAAAAGCTGGCGGCTGGCGAGGATGCCAAAGTTGCCCCGACGACGCCGGCGGGACCCTCTCGAGCGGGGGCCGCCGCCGCCGGCCAAACGGCGCCACTCTCGTCTCACCCGCAATTACCCTCCTCACTCACTCACCCTTCACACAACGTGCACTTGAATCTGTCAGAGAGGTCAATCAAATTGCAATTCATCCCGACATGAGAAGAGCGGCGGACACCCCTCTCACTTCCGTGTGACGCAATTTCCAGACGGTTTTTTGCTCAACAGCAGCTTCTTTTGTGCAGAATAATATAAAAAAACAGAACCCTCTTCTGTTGAAAAGTAAAAAGAATTAAAATTGCTTCAAATTGATTTAAGTTTCGCATAAGAATTTAAAATCATTCAAAATTTTTATTTGTTTCTTCAACTTTTCTTGCGCTTTTATCAATTGATTTTAATCCCCCTTTAAACGGTTTGAAATTCTTATTTTATTTGCGAATATATAAGTTTGCTTTTTAAGCGGTTTTCTGATTATTTTTCTAATGTTTGAAGTTAAAATTTAGATCAAGTTATTTAATAAATATAAATATTCAATTTTATGGTTTCATTTGATAAATCTAAAGCTCAAAGCATTGTCTTTTTTCTTTCCAGTTTTGTTGACTGGAAATTACTTAAATCTTGAAAATTTTCGGGTTAAAATAAATTTACATAAAACAAATAATTTTTAAATATCACAAAACTGCACTGTATATTAAATTTTGCATTTTTTTTTTTTAAACGACGTTTTTGTGCCAATCAAAATAAATTTTTTTAAAAACTACATATACTGCATATTTAAATATTTCCCACTTTTTTTAATTCAAAATAAAATCCATACCAAAAATGGTATAATTTGCGGTTTTTTTATGAAGAAAAATGACACGCGCCAGAAGAAAGTTATTATGCAGAATAGGTTCAATTTCCCTTCTACTCCTTCTTTGTTCCTTTTTTTTATTATTGTCAGAAATGAGATAACAAATAGCTGTCGTATGCAAAGGGCCAGCGATGGGCATTCCCTGATTTTGAGCATGGTCCAAAACTTGATGAAAAAGTTGCTGCATATCCCATTTACGACTTTTGTGTGCCAAAATCCGCGCGTCACCCCAGTTCATTGATCAGCCAATGAGGCCCCAAGGGGAGAAGGTCTCTCTTTTGTCGGAACAAATGATGGCCATCCCTATACTCTTTTGGGACGGGTAATAAAGTGTCACTGGTCTGATTCGGAACTAGTATAAATTTTTAGAGCTCTTATTTGAGAGTCCGTAGACTTGGTTATAAAAATTTTCACCGCACCGTCCTTTGAGAGTTTTGAAGGATTTACGCCGACTTATTTCCCTGTGTGCGACTTTTCTTGTTTTATCAGAGACGTCTTTGCCGGTTTTAGGTGCTGCTGCCGAGCACAGAGGAGTCGCTCTACTGGTGCAAGATCTTCAAACTGCCTGCCACCATGACTGAGAAAAGTCACATTATTCGAGTAAGTTTACTATCTGCAACGCGGCGAAAAGAAGTTCGCTTTTCAAATGGCGCAGACTGGAGATAAATTTCTCTACTTTTCTTTGCCGTTCTTTCTTTGCACAATTGGTGAAAGAAGTTCCTGTTTTTGAAATCAAAGTTGCCTTTTTTGGCTCCGATTTTTTTGGAATTAGTGAATATTTTTCAATTTTGAACAAACTCTACCAAAAAAGTATCTAAATAAATAAGACTTTATTCTTCGCATGATTTTCTCTCAAATTTGCTGTCAAAATAAAATATATTAAGACATGAAAACTTCAAAATTAAATAATAGAATTCTTTTCAAAATCCAACCTCAAAAAAAGATTAATTGGGAAATTAGTATTTCTACAGTGTTAATTATTATTTCCTCAATTTTATATACATATTCCTGAACTGAATCAAAATTTAAATAAAATTAATTAAATTTGTTATTTCAATTTAAATCAACTTTTTAACTAAGCATTTTGATTTTCAAATCCAGTATTTTTTTTATTAATAACTTTTAAAATAATCAAATATTAAACAGCACCAAAATTGAGGACAATAAGTTGAAAACAAATTAAAATGATGACATTTCAAAAGGGTTTTAAAATTTATTCCAGAGCGTCTCTTGCAAATTTTACAAGCAAAACAAAGAATGTAATTGCAAAACATTTTAAAATAAGTACATACATTTCTTTGATTTCTTACTCTTCTTTTTTTTAATTATTTATATTAATTTAATTTTCTCCAAACAAGTCAGAACAAACAATTTTGATAAATTGGTTGGAAGAAGAATTATTGCAATTAATTTTAAACTTTATTAACATTACTTGCTTCCGTTTGCTGCAGTACGAGCCCCTTCACCAGCCAGGCAACCGGCCCTACATGCACCACGCAATGGTGTACGAGTGCCTGGACAACCCGGAGCTGGACAAACTGTCCCGGCTGCCCGGCGCTCCGTGCTACCAGCAGTCGGCCCCTCAGGCGCATTCCTCGTGCACCAACATCGCCCTGGCCTGGGCTTACGGCTCCGAGGTACGAAAATCGCCACAGCATAAAAAATAGACGTGTCATCATTTAAAATCATTTCCAGGGATTCACGTTTCCCCCAGAGGCGGGATATCCACTGGAGCCGACCGCCGGGCCGCGCTACTTCATGCTCGAGACGCACTACACGAATCCCTCGATGCACGCCGGCGTCCGCGATTCGTCCGGAATCAAAATTTTCTACACCACCAAACTCAGACCGAACGATGCTGGCGTCCTCTCCGTGGGCATGGACCCCAACTGGAGACACATCATTCCTCCAGGCCAACCCGCTGTGGTCTCCGAAGGCCACTGCATCGGCACCTGCACCCAAAGGTCACTGCCCAGACAAGGCGTCCAGGTCTTCGGGGTCATGCTACACACTCACCTCCTTGGTGAGTAATAAATACAAAAACAAAGAAGTATTAAATTTTATTTAAGTTTAAATTATTTTAATTAATTATATATAAACAAAAATTTAATAACTAAAAAAATATTTGCAAATATAACAATAAAAATTTATAATTTTATATGTACAAATTTTAATAAAATTAAAGGCTAATTTAAATTTTTTTAACAATATAAATATTTTAAATTATTGAATCAATAAAAATATATGTAATATTAAAATTATTAAAAAAAGTTTTGGTTAATTTAACTATTAATTTTGTGTTTTATACAAATTTTTCTTAAAATAATTTATTATTTTATTTATCAGGTTAAGATTTTGACTCTTGGTTGCTTTCATACAAAATTTATAAAAATGAATAACTTTTTCAGGACGAAGGGTTCGTCTGAGGCACATTCGAGGAGAAAGGGAGTTGGCGCCGCTGGCCTCAGACTCGAACTACGACGCTGGATACCAAGAGTTCCGGCGCCTGCCAAATCCGACCCAGGTCATGCCTGGTGACCACTTGATCAGCGAGTGCGTCTACAACAGCTCGGCGCGAAATGCCATCACGCTCGGAGGACTCACTATCAGAGAGGAAATGTGTCTGGCGGTCACCCTTTATTGGCCAAGGGTCAACCTTTCCCTGTGTTACTCGCTGCCCTCTCTGCCCACTGTTCTCCACTCGCTCGGCATCCATGAGCTTTACCCGTAAGTCTATAAAAGTCTATAAAGTCTAGTTATTAAATTACTTTTAAATGTTAGTTTCAAAAGTGCTTTAAAAAAAAACAATTAGTAAATTTTAATATTTTTTCATTCTTTTATAAATTGGTATGCAAAACGAAAAATTCAAAATAATCTAAAAAAGTAAGTTTTGAATTATCCAAACTTTTTCTTTATAAATGATTAATCAATTGCATTTTTTTTTCACACATAAATTGTTTTTTATTGATTTTTATTCCAGTAAGAATTGTAAATTATATTTGTATATTTTTAGGGGCTCGAATCCAGTGAAAATCAAATCACCAACGGATATAGCAAACATGACGTTGGAGCACCGACTTTTGAGCTACGACTGGAAAAACAACTTCCACCACTTCCAGGAGGCCACCCACTCTGGCTCCTTCAAGCCGCTGTGCTGGCACAGTGCCAACCCAACCCTCTTGCCTGTGAGTGCCAAAAATTTTCACCTGCTTTTTATTTTTTCACATCCACAAGATCATAAATTATATCGTCCAGCTTCTTCTTCGTCTTTTTTTATCTACCCCAGACGTCTGATAAATTATGGTTATCTTTTTTCCCACCGAACCTGGTGCCAAATTTGGGGGAAAAAATGTTCTACAAAGGCCTGAAGTCTTGCCAAGACGAAGAGTGAAAAATAATTCATTTTTTCCCGTCTAATGTGTTGCAGGGCACGGAGGACCACGAATACTTCTTCCCGAACGTGAGCCGTTTGTACCGGGAGCCGAACGCGGCCAGCTGCAGACTGCGCAAGAAAAAGCTGGACGAGCCCTTGAGGGTGGAGGTGAGCAACAGCATCGAGCAGAACTCGGGGCTCATCAGCGAGACTTCGAGCCTCAACATCGGTCCCAGCCTGAGGGTCCGAGCGCTGGGCCTGTTAGCGGCAGGTCTGCTTTGTGTTCTCCTGTAACGTGCTGTGCCGTCTGTGATCGTGTCCGGTGTCCCGTCCAGGGACAGGAACACTCGTCCTCCTCCCTCCTCCTCCTCTTTTGTGTCCTTCGAGCCATTTGTGCTGCAGCGCCTCAAGACTTATGAATTTTTTTTTACACCGTTAAAGGCTCGGTATGGCAATTAATTTTTATTTCAAATTATGAAAATAGACACAAAATTCATGGAAAAAAGTATAAATTGAAATGGAAAAATGCTCAGTCGTATTGAAAACGTTGAAAACATAGAAGATTTAACTTTTCCCGCCAAAAATAATGATATAGAAATCAACAAATTCCAACTTTCCAGACTATCCTGTGATTTTCGAATTATTTTGTTTGCATATTATGGAACCTAAGTTTTAAACTTTCTTTTATTAAAGAATTGTCCTTTTTTTTCTTATTTCCTTAAAATTTTGCCATCTGGTCATGAAATTTTGTCTATTTTCAAATTTAATATAATAAAAATCGTTATTCATCTTGGCCTTTAATAATTTATCTGAATTGGTTGATGTTTTGCGGAATAATGAAGTCGTCAAATTTTTGGAGCGCGGCTGCACGCAAATGGACGATTTGCATTCCTGCTCAGACTGACCGAGCACCTCATCATGATCTCTAGTCATTGTGTACATACACCACATACTAAAATAGCAGTCAAGCTACTGTAAATTGTCAAACAACCATAGCTGCGAGTTCTGATTAATTAATTTATTGATGCAACGCAACATTGGCAAAACCTTGACATAAACTACAAGATCTCTCTCTATTTTGCAGTTTTTCCATCGAGCAGCTGTGGTTTGATGTTGTTATACATTCTAAATCTCAATACTTTGTCAGAATTTTGGACGAGCATTAATTTGGGAGCAAATCAAAATCGAATAAATATATTTCAATTGTGTCAAAATTTGCAAAGAGACGAAGTATTTATATACACAATGCATTTTTCATATTAGTGCAGCAGGCAATGCGTGTATCTTACGAGAGATACAATTTATATTATAACAATAACGTAGTCCTTTCCCCCAATAAAAGCAAAAGCATTCCAGATGAGCGTCATCAGCATTATCACATACACGAACAAACACCGAGTTGAATAATAAAACATGTAACGAGACCTACCGCGATGTAATTTCCCCAGAAGTATTAAATATAAATATATGAGAATGTAGCAGAAACTCGAGAGAGAGAAGGATGTTCTGTAAATATGTATTGTGATAACTTGTACCATACAAATTGACTATATTCAGAATGATGGACACAGTTTTGTTTTCATTGTTTGTATGAGAATTGATATTAAAAAGAAGTGAAAAATTTAACCAATTTTCTAATTTCAAACTCCCACTGATCAGCAAGGTTACTAAATTATTGGTCTTTAAAAAAAAATTGTAAAGTCTCATTCAAAACCAATTTAAATAAAAATAAATCAAAGATAGGTAGTTAAAATCTCAAGAGGCTTTTTTTCTAACAATAAGGAAGGATTTTTGTGGTAGAATTTCAAGATCGAGGGTTGATTCATGGTGATTTGAATTTAAAATCGGCTTTTCCTTGATTGGGTTCTTGTAAGTTGTTTATTGTTTCAGAGCAGGATATTGTTTTTCTGAAACAATAAATAACTCACAAAAACCCATCGAGGAAAAGCCGATTTTAAATTCAAATCTCAATAAGGAAGGAGTCGATTGAAAAATTAAAGTCACCTGATCCGAAAAAAAGGTGACGTGCGGCCGGACTGCCTGGAATATACTTTCGAAATCTAAAAATAGAAATTCTTATAGATCACATGCTTTTTTATTTATATCTGCAATGAGTTTATAAGCCCAGCTAATTTTTTTTTGCATGATATTTCACCTTAAGTGTAACTTTTATTAGGTCAAACTGGTTTAATTATATCTGCAGTGTCTGACGCAATTAATTTGGACCTGCGACAAGCACAATTAAATTTAATCTGCATGGAATTGCTTCCTCAGGTGAATTTATGTTTCACGATTTTTATTTAAATACTGTTCTTCATAAATTTAACTCATTTATTTTCATTTTGGTCCTGTTAGTGTTCAAAATAATCAATATTGATGAATTATTTCTTTTAATTTTCACAATCACGGTTTTTAATGCAATTGTTTTTAAATAAAACTAATTAAATTAAATAGAAATGAAATAAATAAATTAATAAATATCGATAATAATAATATTGTACATATTTATTTAAATGAAGAAAAAAGTTCAACAAAACCAACACAACCAGCAAATATAGGGAACTTTTAGCGAAAATTAGACACAAACAGCTTCATTACAAAGATTTAGCTAAAACTTTAGATAACGTGATAGATCATGTATGTGAAATAATTACATGTTTTACTATTGATGCGATTGAAATAAATAAATTAATTTACTCTTAAAATCATATTTTTTTTAATTCAATAATGCATATTTTAAATTTTACCTGATAAACTATTATAAAAATTTTTATTTATTGCAATTTGAAAATGCTTTGATACGAGAATAATCAATAAAACATATATTATTACATTTTTATGGGTTTAAAATAATTATTTGAAATATAAAGCGTAAAAAAAGCGTAATCTCATTTTTCTCTTATTTGAAAAAGTCTTTAAACTCAAATTTTCATCCCACCAACAATTTCAGTTTAAAAAAAAAACGTTTTTTATATTTGTCGTGAATTAAATAAGTTAATTATAAATTTATTAAGAATGCACATTTTGTATTACAATGCATTGGCAAGATTTTTGGCGCTGCTCTTGAACTTCTGGCGCCTCCCGTTGGTCGACCGGGGAACCACCTGCAGCCAGTTGAGAAAAAAACATCAGCGAGGGTAGGGGTTGAAGAAGGGTGTATTGCGTCAAAACAACATGTTTGCATAAATTTGTAATCGAATTAAAGCTTCGGCCCGGGTGTTTGCTGGAGTGTCCGCGCCCGGCGAAAAGCAAACTGAAGAACGGAATCGGCGCCTTTCGGATTTCAAGAAAATCGAGGTAAAGAAATTCGCCGACAGCCGAGAGCGCAAGTGCGATATTATGCATAATATATTTATTTTGAAATGACACAGTCAAGGTTGCGGTCAACCTCTCTGCAGATGGGTGCTGCTGAATAGTGTGATTTGTCGTCACGGCACAAGAAGTTTGCAGAATAAATGGAGGCGGCTCGGGTTACCAAAGTGGATCGCGTCCTCCTTTCACTCTCTGCAGCGGCGCGAGTTGCCCGAGGAGGCCGGGCACGTTCGTAGTTTGGCGCAGAACATGGACGGGCACCGACGCCGCGACGACGACGACGACGAGCTCCTCGACTGGCACCTCGCGAAAACGGGCATCCAGTTGCTGCTCAACAACAAAATCGACGAGGCCGAAACCTTGTTCAGGGACCGAAAGGACAATGTGCAGATGGCAGCTGGATATTGCTACATAACTTTCATGGTAATTAGTAATTTTTTATGCAATTTTTATTAAAGTATTTTTGGAAATTTAGATACTATTCAGTTTTTTTCAAGAATTATCTTGAAAATTGTAACACTTAATTTAAGAAATTATTTTGGTTACTTTTTTAAATTTTTTAATTATGAAAATTATAAATATTAAATTAAATAAATTTGAATTTTGTGTATTTTTTATTAAAATTTCTTATTTATAAAACTTTTCTTATTTAATTTTTTCAGAATAGCACAGAATGATGTTCATAACCGATTTAGATTTTAATTTATTGGTCAATTTTCTTTGTTTTTTTTTTTTTTTTTTTTTTTTTTTAGAGTCAGGCCAAGACAAAGTCTTGTCGGCCTGTGCCCTTTTTAGTGGCGCAGAAGGCGCCACTCAATTTTGTCTTTTTTTTTTATTTTATTTTGGGTTTGTCTTTATTAAAATCAAGCATCATTTATTTTCGCTGGCATAATCTTAATTTCGCTGGCATAACTTTTATCGCTGGCATAAACTTATTTTCGCTGGCATAAACTTAGTTTAGCGGCGACTGATGATGCTGAAAAAGACAAACTGAAAAGTGAAAGATTAGGAATTAGAAGAATAGGAAGTGGGATCTGGTTAAGATTTATTGATTATGATTAGGTGGGGATTTGTGCTGCTATCAATTTATTTTTTCATTCAAATAATAATGGGTGACTTTTAGCTTTTTTAAATTTAATGTTACTTAAACAGTAAATACATAATAAAAAAATTGGTTTCAATTTTTTATACATGCTAATTAATCAACTATTTGGCTGGAAAGTTGACTAAAAAACGACTATTTCAATTAAAAAATCAACTAAATTAGTCTATTTTCAGCTTCAAAACCGTCTTTTTTGCCCATCCATTAAGTCAATCATTTTTACAGCTTTTTACTAGCCAAATTTTCAACCTTGGAAAACAGTCTAAAACCGTCTAAAAACAGTCTTTTTCTATGAAAAAAGTGTCTAAAAAACCCTACTAATTAAAATTGTGTGTGTGTTTTTTTTTTTTTTAATTTCCAAAAATTTATTTCTAAATCATCTCAAAATAGACTAATTTCATGCAACCCTTCTAAGTAAGATTTTAATTTGATTTTATATTATTATTTACTGCTTTTCTATTTTGTATTCTTACCATTTGCCTATTGAATTGATTACAGAACGCTGTGATGACATTTGAAGAGGAAAAACTGCAAGAAGCAATGCAAGTACTGAAGGACATGGAAAAGCGCTGTGCCCAAGATATGGGATGGATAAAGACTGTGAAAAATAAAGTGTTTGGTGCTTCTAATGTGGTTAGCATAGCAAAATATTATATAAAAAAATTGATTAATTTTCATACCTTTTTTTGAATAAATTTCTCAGACTGACGAGTACTTGAACCGCTTGGAGGAGCAAATTATTCTGGCCGACACTCAAGTTTGCATGGCTCTGCTCACTTTTCTCCAGCACGATCTCACCGGGTACGTTCGCGGCGGCTGGATTTTGCGTAAGGCGTGGAAAGTCTACCAACACACGTACAATCAAGTGCTTCAGTTGCACAGACGAACCTTTGGCAATGAAACTGAAGTGCCAGGTAAGGACAAAAATACAATAAATAAACGAAGAAACTAATTTTTTAATGATATTGATTGTTATCAAAAATTAATTAAATAACAAATTCTATGGAAATGAAGAGATCGGGCTTTTCCTCGTTACAGATATTGCTTTTATTCAAAAAACACAAAAGGCTTTTTTTTAATAAAAACAATTTCTGCAACGAGGAAAAGCCCGATCTCTTCATTTCCATGATCATCTCCGCGAGAGTCAACTTCTTCAAACAACAAATTCTATATTAATCTTCTTTCAATTCCATTAGGTCTTAATAAATTAATTTAAGTTTAATTTTTTTTTATACATTCAATATTTCTTTAGATAATAAAACTAATTAATGATTTTATTATTCATAATTTTTTTTTATCAATCATTGTATTCAATTCTGTTAAGTAAAATCGTTAAATATCAATTATTCTACAGGTTCGCAATTTCCGTCTTGGTCTGTGATAGTCAGGGAGTCGAGCCAGTCCAATTTGCTCTCTCCAAGCTCTCCTGACTGGACTGTGCCTTCAACATCCACTTCAACTCCTAGTCAAGGATTCCGATCTCCATTAGCGTTTTTCTCAATGTTCGGCTACGGCTCAAAATCAAACGAAGAGTACGAATTGACAAAGAATGATTTTTAACATAAAATTTCTAATTGCCGCAGTTCACAGGCAGTTGGCGCCGTCCGTAGTCGCCCGACTGATGGCCGCCGTCAGTTTCGGGTACGGCGTCTTCCAGTTGTGCATTTCCCTGCTGCCGCCCTCGTTACTCAAGCTGATCAGTTTCTTGGGCTTCGAGGGGGACAGAGAGACTGGAATTGCGGCGTTGATGTTCGCTCGGCACGGCCAAGACATGCGGGCACCGCTGGCGTCGTAAATATACAAAAAAGTTGTTCATTTCTTTATGCAAATTCGCCAAAACGTCCGCAGGCTTTCTTTATTATGGTACCACACAATAGTGCGGCCGTTTTTCGCCCTGGACGGCTCCAACGTGCAGGCCGGTGTTGCCGCCGCTGAAACTTTAATCACCGAGTCCCAGGAGATCTACGGCCAGTCGGCTTTGTTTCTGTTTTTCCGAGGCCGAGTGGAGCGACTCAAGGTTGGAACTGGTTCAAGTTTTCCGGGGTCACGTTTTTCACATTACTCTGCTCTTTCAGTCGAATGTTGGCCAAGCGCTTTTGGCATACCAGGCGGCGGTGAAGGCGTCGCCTCAGAGGGAAATCCAGCTTTTGTGTCTGCACGAAGTCGGCTGGTGCCATTTGATTCTGCTCCATTGGTCCCATGCACATGTGTCCTTTCTGAGACTGAAGAAGGAATCGCGCTGGTCCAAAGGATTTTACGCTTACCTAGCAGCAGGTAGTTATTTGTTTCTATTTTCTGGAAATGAAGATTTTTAACTTTTCTCTGTTGCAAAAATTGTTTTAATTCCAAAACAAAACAGCTCTACCAGTTTCAGTCACGGTCTGCAACACTATTTCATGAGCAAGAAGAATGCAAAAACATATCGGCAAAATTGAAAATGTGTTGATTTTTTGCTGATTTTTATATTTTTTTCTTGCTCATGAAATAGGGTTGCAGACCGTGACCAAAACTGGTAGAACCGTTTTGTTTTTGAATAAAAAAACAATTTTTGCAATGAGGAAAAAGCCTAATCTATTCATTTCTATGATCATCTCCTAGAGTGTCAATTTCTTCAAACAAATTATATTTGCTGGCTGAAAATTTTGGCAGTAAATTTCTTATAAACACAACTAAATTCTAATTTCTCACAAATATTAATTGTATTTGAAGAATTTTTCAATGGAATTATTTTACCATAATTTTGTTTTAAGGTAAAATATCAGGTTTTTTTTTACATAAAATATTATTTGAATTACCAATTTTGATGAAAATCAAGAAATATCAAAAATAAATTATACTTTATTCCTAAAATTTCACTTGAGACAAATTGATTGAGTCTTTTTTGGTTATTATTTTTATTAGTGTGCAGAGGAGCAGCTGGTGATGAGGCTGGGGCTGTCAAGCTTGCCCAGGAAGCCCCAAAATTGTCATCCAACAGACAGACACAGCTGGAAGTTTTCATTTCCCGCCGGACTTCCCAACTTCCTCCGGAGAGCTACACAACCATCGGGTGCAAACTTCTCGCCTTTGAACTCCTCTTTCTCTGGAATGCCCTTCCGTCATGCAGCCCTGCTCAGCTGCAGCAAATCATCCAAGGTGATTGACTGAATTTAATTAACATATTTTTAAATAAACTGCCCTTCCTTTTAGAATGTGACGGTACAAGCGAACCTCCGCCGATGCAAGGTCTGCAGTACCTGATCATGGGCGCCACTTACGGCTGTCTTGGCCTGGCTGCAGAGGCGATCAGCAACTTCCGAGCGTGTCTTGCCAGTCGCTCAGAGATGCCGACCTTCAGTTCCGATGGAGAGGAGGGCATCGGGGACCACCACATTGCGGCCTTTGCTTCTTACGAACTGGCTGTGCTGCTCTGCATGGATTCCGAGGTAGGAAACTGATTTTGCGTAACTTCTTTTTCTGTCTCTTTGAAACCACGGCTCAAATTTAAAAGATCGACGCTATGAAGTTGTCAGACCTTTTAAGAAAATGTTTCCGATGTGTTGCAGACACAACAGGAAGGCATCAACCTACTATTAGAAGTCCAAAACAATTACCGCAATTACGATTTTGAAAACAGACTCAGTGTGAGAATTCACTCGGTACTCAAAAACTTCAGATAATCTCGGTTTAGTGTGGAATTATTTTTTATCCGTCCGAGTCATGTATGAATTTCTATGTAATCGCTAATTTATTTGTAACAGTGGCGGCTCATACTCTCTCAGAATGCAATAATCAATGAACAATAACCAAATAAATAGCATTGCAAGCCGGATGGAAATTCGGTTTAATCACATAGATTAACTAATTTAAATTTATAATTTTTGAAGATTTTTTACTCATTATATAAACGCTGCTTTTTGTATACATTCCTACTTACGCAATCAATGTGAAACGAAAATAATAACCAACGGCGCTTAGGTATGCAACCGGCTTGACGTGTGTGTCTAGCAAATTGCCTAGCTCGGCCTGACCGCTGCCAATGTCACAATCAAGGCCAGTGTCGTTCCCACGCCAAGATTGACGCTTGCGATTAATAATAAACTTGTTTATCATGACATTCTCTCTATCAAATGTTTCGCCCAATCGATTGATTATTATTTTTTTAATATGGCGCTTTAAGATCTTCGCAAACAAAAAAGTATCGCTCGCTGCACGCGAAATCGGCCAAAGCGCGGTCGTGAATGGCCAGACAAACGTCCACTTCGAATCCGTACTCGTTGGGCTCGCCGTTTTTGAACAAATCGGACAAAACTCTTGTCCCCGTCAGCCAGTGGAAGTCTCCTGGCTCCCTACTCTGGTCCGTCCCGGACGTCCAGACGTTGCTCCCTACAAAATTTCTATAAAATTCTAATGCCGCGATCAATGATTGATTAATTACAACTGTAGGTTGAGGCGAATTTCCAAACGTCGACCGCCTTGGAGTAATTCTGCACACTAACAAGTTGCACGCCGTGTTGTTTGCAGAATTTGTCAGCGTCGTACCAATTGGCCTGAAAAATTTATTATTATTTTATTTAAATTTTTGACAAAAACTTGCGTCAGATTTCCCAAAGTAATATTTGGGATAGCTCTTGTTGAATTTGAAATCGTCAAACATGGAATTGGTTTTCGACGAGACTTTCAGCTGCAGACTTTTGCTTGCGTCGCTCAATTCAGAAGGAATGGACGAAATAGACTTTTGTGCCAATTTCTTGTGCATTTCCCTCAACTCTTCTATTATTTTTTTACTCTCAGCGTGCATATCCTTTCCGATAAGAAGAAGCGTCTTATTCAAATCGTCCACTCTAGAATTATTTAAATTAAAATCATTATATCAGTTTATGGAATAATTATTAAAAATTAAATAGCTCAAGAATTTTTATAAATTTCTTAAAACGATCAAATTTAATTTATTTCAGGAACTGGTTCATTTTAAAATTTGCAACGCTTACTTGGACATAAATTCCCCTTGACAGTCGCAATGTCCGAGCGGTCCATTTCCAGCGTTGATATTGATCGAGATGTTGCTGACGGCTTCGGACTCTGCACTTGGAGCCGACTCGGCTGCAGCAAGAGAAGCGAAAACCAAGGAAAAGAGCGCCGCACTTGCGATTCGCATGACTGTGGTCAACTGCAGCTCAAAGTTAAACCGGGCGGAAGCTTCGTTTCGTGGTCAAGGCCGAATTTTCGCGTCGATGAGCAACTCATTTTGCATTGCATATTAGCTTATATGCGAATTAATCAATCAAATATTTAAACGGCTAGTTAAAAATTTAAAATTAGTTTGGTAAATTTGATGGCATTTTATTTTTTTATTCAAGGCACTCTTTCAAATTGGAATCATTTCTCTTAATTTCTAACGAAATTCTTCGAACATTTGCTCATTTTTCAACTTCCTAAAAAAATGTAAATACTTGAGCAGAATAAAAATTAATTATAATAGTAAAAAGTTAGTGTTATATTGAAATTTAATTTGTTAAATTTTATCTTTCGTGTAGAATTTGCTTGCTGACGAAACTATGGAAATGAATAGTATCATTTTAAAGTTTTGATTTATCTTTAATCTTCTGAGAATATGTTCTAATGGCTTGTGACTCACTTTATCCACTTTGATTCACGCAAATCTTAAAATTAATTAAGGCCTTGCATTACCACAAAGTTATTTAATTATTGTTCTCCTCAAGAAGTCTAAGTAGTTTGAGTAGGTTTACATCTAAAGCATCACTTTGTAGATAAAATTCCCATTTAGACTAGCTTCTTTAAAAGTGCCGCCTAATCATCTTTGACTCGCGTCAATTTTATTATCTTCTTTGAAGCGATGACACTTTTCAAGATATCCATGTCAGTTCTGATTCTAGCGAGAGAATAGGAGGACGTGCGACTTAAACTCTGGGTCTTGTGTTGGTAATAAATAGTTTATTCAGAGGAATCTTACAATTAATGTATAATAAAATCACAATCTACAGGTAGGTGCTGGGGACGTCGGGGTTGTTACTGGTCTGGTATGGTGGGGGAAGGGTTTCGTCCTGGCCGTAGAAGTTGCTTTGGAAGTTTTGGTTTTCGTAGGCGAAGTCAGGCTTGTCCTCAATTCCAATTAATTCCGAATCACCGCTGTGTTGACTGCAAATAAATAAGTCACGTTTTAAAAAATATAAAAACTTTATTTATAAAAAAACAAAAGAACAATTCCTGAGCAAGCTAAACATATTTTATTGAGTAATCGACACATTTAAGGCTCTTCGTCGTCTACTTTTGCAATTTCAGCGATTGAAAATCGCGCTTCGGACACTCGCCTTTGGTTGTCGTACGACGGCATTTCTTCATTCCACACGGGATTTGATCCTTCAATTGCGTGCTTGTTGGTGTTCGGGACGTTCATGGCGATGCGATTGAGACCCGACTCTTGTGATCCGAACTTTGTCGTCGACAAAGCCTCGAGACGACGGTTCAAACTGAAAGTCAAATTGTTTAATTTCGTTTCAAAAATTGTCTACAAATTATTTGCATGCACAATACGTTTGATTTATTTTTGCATAGTGATTTTCATTTAAGAAAATTTTTACTTGTTCTGCTTGAGAAACTTTTTAAGTTTAATTCTTGTCCAAAGAAAAGTTTGGACCTATAAATGAAGAATTGCAACAGATCAAGTAATTCTTATCATGAAGTACACATCAAGGGGTGCAAATTGGCCAGGCAAGGAAATAATTAATGCTTTAAAGAATAAAATAACTCAAACGAAAAGGTAATGACGATTATCGTGCCTAAATTCACTTCTCATTAAATCTTTACTAAAATATTACTAACTTATTAGGCTAATTTTGCCCGTCGGTGTGAAATAACTCTTAAAATTATTTGATTTCAACCACTACTTTAATTTAAAACAATGAGAGGTGTTCAAACACTAAAGTTAGAAGAAATTTAAAAAATAATTACAATTTCTGAATATTATATATGAAAAAAAGCTTATTAACTCCCGAGGAAATTGGCAAAGTTTGTAAATCGTGCAAAGTTTTCCAATTTGGATCCAACATATAAAATTATTTTTTAACGAATTTTTGTATTTTATATTGTTACCAGTGTAACTGGTATTTATAAAAAAATTTGTTATTAATGATTCGCACCTTCTCGTCTTGACGACAAAAGCAACGAGGAGGAGCGCGACGAGTGATCCCAAAACCACGCCGACTACAATCAGCGTTGTGGTCAGCACAGCGGCCAAGTTGTCTTCGGGAAGGATCCCACTGGAAGTCACGTCCAGCAGGTTCAAGTTCACAGGGACTAACTCTGCGCGCATTCTGGTCAAAGTCTGAGGATTGTTAGCTCTCCTGTGTGCCAAAGTTAAGAATTCTCTTCGAAGAATATTTTTAATAAATTTTACGCTTCAATTACGCCTCCTTCAACTGGCAGATTTGCATTCTGATCGATGAAGTGCGTTCGCACCATGGTAACGGTATCCGCTCGGCCCTCAGTCGACTGCGTGACATAGTCGATGGCGCATTTGTCACCCAAGTTTCGCGTGAAGACGTCGGCAATCTTTGAATAATTTAAAGATTTAATTTAACAAGCTGATTTTGTCAATGAAATAAGTTTTACAAAATCTCTTTGGGAATCCACGTCGGGCACCTCGTTCAGGAAGAAAAACTTCACGCGATTAGAATCGTTGATTATGTAAATCTTAACTTTTGTTGTGGCTACGTTGTTAACTAGAAATTTAAAATGAACGGTAAATTACAAAAAAAAAAAAAACTTATATATTCCAACCTATACCCGCTTTAATAAAAAGTATCAAATAGTCTATTTTTATTATAAATAAATTCAAATTATATAGTCGGTTTCAACCTTAAAAATTATAAAGCTAAACACTTGAGAACCCGTTAGGGTTTTTTTTAATGATGTTTTTTTTTTTTTTTTTTTTTTTTAAATGTTGTTTTGGACGAAAGATGAATAAATTATAAATGTTTCAATCCTTCCTTTTCACTTCAGAACATTACCAGACCCTTTTATTGGAAACTATTCTTTAAAAAACCTGAATCTTTGGCTTCCACGTCGAAAGTGAAATATCCTTTCATGTAGTCCTGTGGCGCAAACTTGGTCTTCAAGTAACCCGTGTTAGGATCAAGATCAAAAGCGTTGTCCATGACTTCAACCAGGTAGCTCTCGCTGGCGGACATTGTCCCAGGGATGATTTTGTAAGTCAGTGTATCGCCCACGTCAGAATCTGATGCCTAATTGTAATTTCGTTGGTCAGTTATTATTGTTGATCAAGTTAATTGAACGCACGGTAATTCTGATAATCTCCACGCCAATGACGTCAGTCGGAGCTATGCCTCCTACGTATAGGTCTTCTGCAAAAACTGGTGACGAATCTGGCAGGTCTATCACCTAGTATTATTTCAGATTTCTCATTGTATAGTTAAAGTATAAAAGAAAAAAAATGGTGTATATACATTGATGGTGACTGTGATGACCTGACGCTCGTCGCCAATCAGCAAAGGCGGTTGGAATGGCGAGTTTGAAGCAATCACGGTCAGGATGTATTGTTTAGGTCCATCGTCACTGTCCAGCCCAAGTCCCTCAGGGTCGCTTAGTCCAATGATTGGTGTGACAACGTTATTCTCCAGCACGTTTGTGATTTTGAACACTCTCTGAGCATCCCCATCTTTAATTAAATTAATCAAATGGACCCAATATTGTAAATGGATCAAAAGTACCAAAAATGTAATAGTAAATTGGCTGCCAATTTGACTGCTCTTGATTTTCGTTGTTTAGATCTTTGGCCAGTGGCAACTCTGCAGATACAGCTGGGTCATTTTCTAAAAATAATTTGTTGATTTTCAGTAAGAATTTGTTATTAATGTTTCAATTTACCTTCCCATTCAATCTGTGGGTCGCTAACATCTTCAAAAATGGGAACAACGTCAGTGGTGGTAATGATAAACACTTGAACTTGTCGCTCGGTTTCTAACGAATTAGATTGTGCCTGATCACGGGCGACGAGTGTGAGCTGTGAATTTTATCTCATTTTTTCATTGTTACGAAAATTATTTTGACAAAGAATTGTACCGAAAAAGTTAAGAGCCCCTCAGAAGGAAACTTTTCCTTACAAAGTAGACTCGCCTGATTGTTCACTGTAGATGAAATGTCAAGGTACCTCAGTGCGGTAGCTGAAATTGGAATATATTTATATTCTTGCATGCTTTTTGTATGTAATAATAACAATTGATGTACCGTCGCCTTTGATAGTAAAGTCAAATCTTCCATTGCCAGTTTCAGGGCTGTCAGCATCAGTTCCACTTATCGGGGTCAAATCTCTACCGTCCTCACCCCTCAATGGCAGCGATACGTTTTGTTCCTTTTCAAATAAAAAAATTGTATTGAATTGTAACACTCGAGGTGGATTTCATGAAAAATCGGTTTCAATTTTTCATAAAAAAAGGAAAATTTTTATACTTTTTGCAAATGAGAGAATTTTTCAATTAATATGAATTTGCAATTAATAGATGAGCAATTTTTTTTAGACACATCATTAACAGAAATTTTATCAGTCTCACCAAACTAATGCGAATCGGATATCCATCCTGCGGTGGCCAAGTAAATTGTGGACTGTTGTCATTAACATCCAACACGTTGATCTCAAAGTCCTTCTCGTCGCTGTTGATGCCTCCCCCGTCAGTGGCCTAATCCAGTAAATTCTCAAGACTCGCATTTTTACTTAATTATATAAACTCGCACCTTGATTCTCAGAATCTTCGTACCATACAAGCCCTTCAGAATTTTTGCAGTCTTAATGTTTGCTTTATTGTTGATATTTTCAAGAGTGAATAAATCCTCGCCCGGAGGAGTTGACGAAACAATTTCATATGTCACGTTCGAGAACGGTCCTGGAGCGTCTGCGTCTGGAGCGCTGATTCCCTCGTACACCATAGAGTCCTATTTCAACAATTAAGTTCCACTTTGAATTTTTTATTTTTTGATTCAAAATCCTCACCGATTCTACGTCTTCGTTGACCTCGATTACTCGCGTGGGCTCTTCAAACTGAGGAGACTCATCGTTTTCATCTAAGAGGATCACGTTAAATCCTGCCGTTCCTGTGTTTCTTGTAGCTATAATCAACATAGATTTTATGTAGTTTAAAATAAATAACTTTTAAACGAATAATTACGTTCAACTCCGGCAGTAGGGGGCGAGTTGTCCATGACAATCAGCTCGATGCGATACGTGTCACCTAAGGGTCCATCCCTGTCCAGGTCAGCACCTTCCTTTACTGAAACCACGCCAGTCGTGGCGTCGACCTCAAAGTAATTTGCCTGCTCAGGAAACGCGGTGTTGATGAAATACTGCAGTTTCTTCCCAAACGGTTCTGTGTGACATTTCAATTATCCCCCGTTAGTATTTTATTAAGTTTCAACTCAAAATCTTTTCAGAAACTGATTTTGGTTATAAGCAGTTATAAGAAAAGCAAGATGAGATATTATAATTATCCAATGGTCATTCCTTTTCTTCTAAAACCCACCGTTTAAATCCAGTATAAAGAAGGATTAAATTTTAATAATTTTGTAATGAATTTTAATTTGTAGGTTTTCCGTTACTATTATTGTTTTTTAAACTTTTAAAAGAGTAATTATGAGCATAAGTAGCATTTAAATATATAAAAAAAAAATAATAATTTGAAGAATTAGAAAAAATCCCTTTGTTCATAAAAGTGAGAAGTGCTTTAAAAAAAGCCATAGATGATTATTGCAAATAATTTTCCAAATTTGTCTCTAATTTTTTTTAATATTTGAAATTCCCATTTATTTCCAATTACTGTGGATTGCATAACCTTAAAAGTCTTAAAACATAAAATGCATTCTTTATTTTGTATTTTAGCTTTTTGCTGCAGAAAATGCAGTTATTCTTTTTTTTCATATTTTTCCCTGACGTTTGGCGTTATAAACGTATAATTTTAAAACCTGAGAAATCGAGATCCGTGGCTGTAACAGTCGCGATTTCAGTGCCACCAGGTGAATTTTCCATAATCTGCACCGGGGTCTGCGGAACATTAAGCACTGGCGTGTTGTCGTTGGTGTCGAGCACGTTAATTGTGATCTGAGAGGGGAAATTTCAGATTTTCAATTCATTATTTTCGCAAACTGGACTTACCGTTACTTCTGTTGGCACGTCTGCGTTCGAGTCTTTAGCGATCACTTTGTATTGCAAAACCTGAAAACCGTCGTCTCCGTCCGCATTTATCAGATTTTCGCTATTTGTTGACGTGCGAATTTCTCCTGTTTGGCCGTTAATCGTGACCCATTCCGCAGGCGAATCACCGACAGGTCTGAGTGAAAATCGAATTTGAATTTGCTTTAAATTCAATAAATGATGAATTGTACTGAATTTCGTAGGTGACTAGGTCCATTTGGTCTGGATCAGTGGCTACGACGAAGCCAATCAGTTGATCGGAACTTGCCTCGCGAACCGATTTGTCTTCGATCGTAACTGGATCAAATACCGGTGGGTTGTCATTTTCGTTGTCCACATTGATCACCACCGTTACTGTAAACAGAGTAAATAAAACTGTCATAACCCTAACTTAAAAATTTTGCACTTTTTTATCATCTTGTAAAGTTACGTTTTTTCTGTTTTTAATTTTCTATATCAAAAATTATATTTAAAATTTCCTAAAATATTTCAAATCCAATTACTTTGAATTAAGAAAATATACTGATTGCAGTAGCAGAAAAATTAATTTAAACGTAGGTATTAAAATAAAAATAACCTACAAAAAGTCTTAAAAAATATAATAATGTTTAATTTTTTTACTTTAACTAGGATTTTTTTGTTGATTTTATGAGAGCAAGTTAGGTCAAACCTATATTGACTATTTTCAATTTCTTTATGATTAAAATTGATAGTTGACCATAATAAATTTGATTATAGAAAAAATATAGCATTACTCTCGCGCCGGCCGTTATTCTCTTGCATTATGTCTTCGACGGCGAGTTTCAAGTAAAGAGCGTCAAATGCCTCCCAGTCGAAGAAAACGGTGCCGGCTTTCAAAACAGCGATCGCGTTTCCCTTGTTTTCAGCAACGTATTCCGTTTCAATGCTCAGGCAGCTAAATGTTTAAAAATTGTCAAATAATTCATGAATACAATTCATTCAAAAATTTATTTACTCTTTGTATTTGAGAGGGTCTTGCACTCTTACTCCTTTGTTGGTCGCGTACGTCAGGTCCCAGTTGATCTGGAACTCGAGTTCTGCGTCCGAGTCCAGGTCCTCAGCTGTGATGCTTCTGGAAATCTCCGTTCCCGTTGCTGCGTTTTCTGCAACTCGTATTTCCTCGTTTGCCTAATCATAAAATATAATACATATCTGATAGTCACATTTTGATTATTATTGTTTATTTCACTTGATTCGTGAATTAAAATATGACACTTGAAAGAAAATTTACCACAGAAATGGTCGGCGGCGAGTCGTTCTTATCTATGATCGTGAGCAGAACTTGCGCGGTGCTTCTGTGTGGTGGAGTGGCCGTGTCCGTTGCAACCACCTGCAGGATAACCTCGTTTTGGAACTCGAAATCAAATGGGTTGTTTTTGGCCACCGTGATTAGGCCCGTCGCGTCAATTGATACTGCTGTGCTAGTCGTTGAAAACTGATACCTTAAATTGAAATCAAAGCCGATTAAATTAGGACCAATTTCACGAATTAAGGCATAACAGTATAAATCAAATATTAGTATTAACTGCTAATTTATATAAATTACTTTATTTTTATATTAAAAAAAATTTAAATTAAATATTATATGTATTTTCGTTTGCTATACGAAATAATTATTATTTTATTCCAAAGATTGTGTTATTTTAATTTAACTAAAATCTTTTTTTAAGATCGGGCCAAGGCAGAGTCTTGTCGGCCTGTTTTCTGTAATGGTGGTGCGGAAGGCACTTGGCACAACCCAATTTAATATTTGATAATATTTGCAATTATTAATGTTATTTTTCATTAAATTACCAAGCGAAACATTAATTTTATAAGTGCAAGGAAAAGTAAATTAATTTATTTAAAACAATAATTAATTTTTAAATGACAACTCAATGTGACAAAATTCTTCCCCAAAAGTTTAAAAATATTAAAATATTTATTATTTCTACACTTATAGATAATAAAAAAACTCTTACGTCACAGTGTCTCCTGGATCGTTGTCTATTGCCTCTATTTTCAAAATCGACGTGCCTGCGGTAGCAGTTTCGTCCACACTGGCCGTATACTCGGACTGCGAGAAAACTGGCGTTTCGTCATTTAAATTTTGTACGGTGATTGTGATCGGCACTTCGGCGGTGTGAGAAGGGTCTCCTGTTTCAGTCACTCGCAACTGCCACAAAATCGTTTAGTTTTTTAGCTTTCAAGCAGGAAACATGAATATACCTTCAAAGCAATGTTGCGCCATATCGGATCTTCGTAATCGATTACGCCGAGCACCGTTATCGAGAAAATTGTTTCTTGGTAGCCACTGTTTGGAATCACAGCAAACGCCGACTTCCAATTGTTCTCAGACTCGTCCACTAACTCGACTCTATACTGACCACTTGCGCCCTACAAAAAAAAGAGTACAAAAATTTTTCTCTTAAAACTGATGCAAAGTATTTTCTTTATTTTGTATTTTTTAATAGCAACCAGTCAATTTTTTGAATAATATAAATACTATTCTTGTTTAATCATTGCAATTTTTAACCATTTAAAGATGAAAATCATTCCAAAAGTGAAAAGCTAAAAATATCCTCTTGTGACAGAATCCGTTTAAAGTCTCAAATATTTTGAAACAAAAAAGTAGAATTTGCATGAACTCAAAATCGATAGTGAGAAGATTCTTTGCAGCAAATAAAAATATTTAAATTTTAATACGTGTTCGGTTTTTTTCACCAGTGTTCAAAGAAAATATCTTTTTCCAACTTATACCGTAATTAAAAGAAGAAGAAAACTAACCAGATCCGGATCGACAACTTTGATTTCGCCAAAATTGATGTCGCCCATGAAGTTTTCGTCAATAGTCGCGGTCAAAGTGCTTGGGGTGATGGAAGGCGTGTTGTCGTTCACGTCGTTGACAATCACTTGCATTTCTTGCTCAATGAAACTGGCGGAATCGTTTTCTTCCTCCGCACGGATGATCACCGTAAAATCTGAGCCTTGGGTGTCGCTGTCGATGGCACTGATGTCCAGTTTGCACGTGTTTACATTAGGGGACGTGAGTGTGAAAAATCTTGAATCACCTGTGATGGAAATCAATGGATTTTTAGATAATTATTTTTCTGGTGCAATTTCTTACCTTCGACGAGCGTAAATTTCAAGTTTTGAGCCGTTGCTCCAGCATCTCCGTCTCTTGCAGTGTAAGTGAAGGACTATTTTTTTAATTAAATTAATCAAATCATTTTAAATTGCGTGCAAAATATAATTGTTTGCTTTTAAATAAGTCAATCAAGCTTCATTCAATTTCGTCAAAAGAAAAATATAATTTGGAAACATTCGTTCAAGCAAATAAAGAAGGAAAAGTTGTGAATTAATTTACTAATTTTTACGTACTTGCTGGGTTTCTTCATTGAACCTGACTGTTGGTTGTGGGCCCACGAGCCAAATTGGTGCTGTATCAGCCACGTCGTCGACACGCAAAATCACATTTGTCGTTATTGTCCTTTCTCCCTTCAAATTGAAATTATTTCATTTTTTACCCAATGTATTTATATAATAAAAAAAATCATACATCAGAACCTGTCAGTGTAAGCATGTGGACTTGAGCAGTTTCGTAATCAAGTTCTCCTGTAATTCTCAGTGTGCTCACTATGGTTATCTGGTCACTCCCTTGCACTGGGGCAGTCATTGCAAAAAGTCCCTATTCAAACATAAAAAATATTTTTAAGAGATTTAATAAAAAAGGAAGCAAAATTGATAAATAATGAAAATAGTGTGCTTCAAATTTATTTTTACTTGAAAATTGGAGGAAAATTTCAAGAGTGCGTATGCGAATTTCTAATCTTTTGAAATTTTCATATCTAAGAAAAAAATAATTAAATAATAAAAACTCCTAAAAAAGCAATTTAAACAGAAAATAATTTTTATAAACACTAACCGCCGGCTGCACAGTTATGGAAGCACTGTTTGGAAGAAGCCCATCGAAGTCTTTCAAAGTGAACTTGCATTCAGTGTCTCCTGATGCATCTTCCTAAAAATTGGCATCATTTTTAAATGACCATTTTCGATTTGCGAAACTATTTTCTTACCTTCACAGCTGGGCACGAAACGTCCGAGAGTTCGAAGAATGGATTGTTGTCATTCAAATTTCGCACTTGGAGGGTCAAAACGCCAACAATGGTGCTGCCCTGCACTCGCACCTCAATGCGGCATGCTGGACTGTTTTCGAAATCTTGTGGCTGTGAGACTTTGATGGCCCATTTGTTTTGAAGGCTACTTTCTTGCACGAAGTCCAAACCAAAACTTCCACACCCGCTTATAGCTTCAATGTAGGTTGGCTTTGTTGCGCCTGCAGTCAAATTTAGAGAAAGGCTTTTAAAACATATTTTTATTTCTTTGAAAAACAAGAATTTTTCAAGAATGTTGAAATAATCAAAAATCTATAAAAAAAATCAGCCCGAGTGATTTTAATGAAACTTAAATAAATTCTCTTCAGAAATTCATAGAATAGCATTGATTAATTTTGTAAAAAATGTAATTACTTGAAAACTGCAAGAATTTTCTATCCTGGGCCCCAATTAAAACTAAACTACAGCAAATCCAAATTTTATATCACCCAAATTTACTGGGTAACGCTGAGTAAAAAGTATTACTGACCATACAAGTCTTAAAAATAATTTAAACAAAATATTTTAAAACCTGAGTAATTGATTATTGCAACTGTGGCTAGATCTGCAACGTTTTCATCAAACTGGGAAGTGTAGGCTCGATCTGATCCTTGAAGAACCACATTGCCTGATGTATCTGCTGGCTGCTCAAAGTAGGGTTGGTTCCACTGAGCCTGACAGCGACGGCCCATAGAAAAGACCATGAGCAAAACAGCTAGCTGGGCTAGCGAAGCCATGGTTTCTGAAAAAAGTTATTTCGTTCGTCCGATTAAAATTGAGATTAAAAAATAAATGCTCAAATTCAGAGTGGCGTCTTCACCAAAAAAAGGCACGGGCCGACAATACTTTGTCTTGGCATGACCATTTAAAAACAATTTATTTCAGTACCCAGAGTAGTTTTTAGCAATGCACTTTATTTGAAATTTGAGGACTTTTTTATTAAACGGGATCCTCTATCTAGAAAGAAAATTACTATCAGACAATCAAACAAGATAAGATCCACATATTGACGTGCTTTCAAGCAAATGACTAATGAGACACGCATATTGAAGCTGCTCATAACGGCAGTTGAAATTATTATCTAAAGTTGCAGACGTTATTTTGGAGCTGATTGGCACATCGCGTTGGATGACATTATTGATTGATAAGAAATGACTCTTTTAAAACAAATCTCCATTTCGGCATTGTGCTCGGCCAAAAAAGATTAGAAGAAGTGGAGAATATTCTAGGAATATCATTATCAGAAATTGAGAGACACGCAAACAGCAGGCTAATTAGTAGCTCGGCAACAATCAATTAAAAAATTTAAGATGATTCATCTTTTTGGTTTTTAGATGCAATATTTACAAATTTCGCTTATCAAACTAAACATAAATTATTAATTTTATTTTAAAGAAACTCTTCTATCAGGAAAATTTCAAAATTTTATTATTAATTATTGCTAAATATTAATATCCTATCACAACTTCATTAAAATAAAATATGGAAACAATGAAGAAGCAGGTTTTAAATTTTTTTCAAACATTATTTCATTATTTTTGTCAATCAGCGCTGATATATCTAGGTACTAACAATAAGGAAAATAATTCAAACGATAACGCGTTATAAGTTGAAATGAGATTTTTCTCTTGTATTTTTGTATAAATTGATTTCAATGCACAAATAATATTACATTGAAGGAAATCTTGCCTTGAATTTATAAAATATATCGAATTAAGTTAGCAATTACCTTATATGTGGCAACTTGGATTCACAAAAACTTTGTTTGGCACCTGAGATGACTGCGACTGACTCAACGCTTTGCGATTCTGGAGCGTATATTTCAGCATATTGGTACCTCACTGAATATGCGATAAAGCAAAGCCGATAAGATGAATTGATTAACCTCTCTCGTTGCGAAACAAGTCAGGCAATAATGCTTACCGTCCACAAATGAACCACTCCTCAAATTATTTTTTATGATTGATAAGTCGCTACTTGTACTTTTCAGTCAGCGAGTGCCGCTGAAGTATTCCCTGAAATATAAGATCGCAATCAAGCGAGAGGCAATTTACGGAGCCCATATAGACGTATATTGTGATCAATACTTATTGTTTGCGCGTTGATCGCGCTTATCTACTCTAATTGCTATGCCGACGTCATCTCATGCAAAATAATTATTGTTTAATATTTTGATACTTAAATGATAAATTGAAAAATTAATACTTGTGCTAAGAATCATGTAAAAATTTTAATTATATTTGGCTTTAAATCAATTTAACTGAACTGAATATTTGGAAGGCTTTTCCAATATATTCTATTACAATGCTTATTTTGCAATATTACACAAATGTTTATTAAGAAAATAAAAGAGAAAGAAGAATTCCTCGCCGGCATAAAATTTCAATTATAAATCAATAAGAAAATTAAAACAGAGGCTTTGTTATTGTATTCCAAGAAAGAAAAACTACATATGGGTCATGTAAATCAACATAAATAATAAGAATTTCAACTCTAAAAAGAAAAATAATAAATAAAAATGTCTTAATTTAAAACTAGGGTACTTTCATGATACAAATTTTCATGTTATATAATAATATATAATTTTGTTTTATTAATATTCACAACTATGGCTGGTCACTGGACGGAATAAAAATTTGAATGTTAAATTGTTGCTGGTCAGAGAGTGCAACTGAGATGGGCTGTTGTTCCTCTGCTACAAACAGTTGGTCCGAAATGTGTTGCTGCTCAGACTGGGAAGGCTTCTTATCCCTGTGCTTTTTGTTGCTGTGTCTGTTGAGGGAACTCTTGCAGCGGAAATTCGCGTTGCACTGACTGCAGAAGTAAGGCTTGTCCGAAGCGTGGCTCTGAAGGTGCTCGCTGAGGGCTTTGCTGCTGGAAAATGTTTTAGGGCACAAGTGACAACCATTCGAAGGGTTCTCCGAGTGGCACCTTTCATGGTATCTGAAAATGATTCAAAAATTTTCTTATTATTATATTTTTTTTCTAAATTATAATACGGGAGGATTAAAATAATTATATAAATTATGGGAGTCTCCTCTTCATTTCTTACTTTTACATTTCCTAAATTATTAAAGTGAGTGTTTGAAGCAATTAAATGAACAATTGGATCCCATTTAATTTAAAAAGAATTGAAAAATAAAAATTGAAATTGCCATTTTTTGAACTTAAAAAATTTGTTAAAAAAAATTTATGTAAAATTACTTCAATGAACTGCTGCGGAAGAATTTTTTAAGGCACTGTTTGCATTCAAGTTGCTCCTTGTTGACATCTTCATGGACCAGCTTCTTGTGTCTCTTCAACTCTCCCTTGACGCTGAAGGCCCTCTGGCAAATGTCGCAGATGTGCTGCTTTGTGTTGAAGTGCTTCCGTGCTATGTGATTCTTCAAGGTTCCACTGGTGGCGAAGAGCTGTCCGCACTCGGAACACCGGAGTTGCTTGTTGTGTATTTTCATGTGCGTCCAAAGGGCCTTCCTTGTGAATTCCTTCCCGCAAACCTCGCAGACCGACTCCTTTCTCGGTGGACCGTGCGTTTTCTTGTGATGATTCAGTCCCGTCTTCCCAACAAACCTTCAAAGATAAAGACAAATTTAAACTTTTTAGAATTTCATACAAAAATTAACAGATTCATAATTTTAAAAAACACTTTTTTATTATTATTATTATTTATTCTTCTCAGTCGATACAAAAAATTTCAAAATGGGAAAAACTTTTTATATGAAAAAAACTAGGCTCATAAAATGTAATGAGTTAAAATGTTGACATTTTAATCGCTCCTCTTAAATAGATTAATTTCCCAAAATAGTTTCCAATTTAGGGAAAGAAGTTTTAAAATATATGAGTGATTATTTCAAATTTTCAACTTAAAATAAAACCAAACCTTTTGCCACAAAATGAGCATTTGTAGGGCTTCTTGCCAGTGTGAGTTCTCATGTGCTCCTCCAAATAGTCTTTTCGTGAGCAGGTCCTCTGGCAAATATCACATTCGAACAAGGGCAGACTCGAATCGTGCAGTCTCATGTGCTTCCGGAGAGAGCAAGAAAGTGAAAAGGACTTCCCGCAGGTGGGACAAAAGAAAGGGTTGAGGCTGCCGGCTCGATGCTTGGCCTCTTTCAAGTGGGTTTTCAAGTCAGTCTGGGTGTCGAAAAGTAATCCGCACTGTTCACATTTCAGTTTGGACAGTGGGTGGTCGTTGCTCAGGTGATTCTTGAGGCGCTTCCTGCTGTAGAAAACGTTCGGGCAAAATTCGCACTGGTAGGTGAGCAGCTTGGAACTTTCGTGGGTTACGTCAACTGGCGCCAAAGCAGGAGGTTCCGAGTTTGCTTTTGGCTGAGGAACTTTCTCCAAAGTGTTGATAGGCGGCTCCAAATTTTCGACAGAGTTTATCGGCAGAAGGGTAAAGTCGATGAGACCCTCCATCACGGAGATGAAGTCCTGAACTCCACCCTGGTAAATCACCTCTCCGTAGTAGACGAGATCGACGAAAGCTTGGACTGATTCGAGGGCAAAACTTGACAGGAAAATCAGGCAGTGACGCCAATCGGGCTGATTGAAAATTGGCTGGAAGTACGGACTGACGCTGAGTATTGCACTGTGGACCTAAAATAGACATGAAAATTTTAGTTTAAGAAAAATATAAAATATTTATCATCATAGGAATAGGTTTTGAGTACTATTTAATGCAAAAAAATGTGGGACATCGAATTTTAAATTTGAAGAAATAAGAAATATTTGAACTTTAAGGAAAATTCTGTTGTAAAATTTAGGAAAATTGAATATTTCAATTGAATAAAAGAAAATGTATAAAATGCCATAACTATTTTACTTAGATTATTATTAAAAACAAGCTGGAATTAATTTACTCATAACCCTTTCCGAATTTTTTTGTGAAAAATAAATAAATAAAATAATGAGAAAAAACAAAAACCTTGAAAGTGTGATCGTTGCTAATGAGTTGCAGATCCGAGAGAGTTTCTCTGTCGAAGAGCGACTTAAAAAGCAGTCTTTTTGAAGTGTCCTTGTGCTCGTAGCAGGAAAGTCGCGTCGTTCCTTGTTTGACGACCGGTTGCCGCTCTCGGTGGTAGCCGAGTTCGGCGATGGTGTTGAACAGATCTTTGATGCCAAACATCTTGGCCAGCCGGCAAAGGTTGGTGGCGCGCGCCCTCGGGATTTGCACTTCGCCCTTGTAGCAGAATTGCAAAAGGAGCTCCACGTCTGCGGCTTCAAACTCCAGGAGGGCCACCAGGCTCGGCCTTACTGACAGCGGCGCCTGGAGCAATATAAGTTTTTTTAGTCTAAAAATGTGACGTGTTGTTTAAATAAATAAATGCAAAAATAACGTTAAAGGTGAATTAGTCCTGGCAAAATATTCTTTGATGAGTTGAGGAAGTTTTTCTAATTTATTTACAATACGTTATCTTTTTAAGGTTTTTTTAAATTAACTAAAAAAAACTCCACTCGCAAGAAGCTTTAAAAACTAATTATGAAGTTGAAATCCTCAAATGTATCTAACATTTGTGTTAAAATTAAAAGATTAAAAATTAAATAATTTTCAGACAATATTAACTTTTCAATTCATTTAAATTCTTATTTGGACTCATATTGGAAGATTTTGATTTCATTCAAAATAATAAAAATTGTGATCCACACCTGGAATAAAGTGTAAAGCTCCTCACTGGAAGCAGCCAGAATGGCCCAGTGCGCAAACACCTCATTTTCATCCCTCGTGATGATTTTCACGTCGTACGTTTTGTGTCTGGAGGCCCAAATTGTGTTCAGCACCTCGCACTTTTGCTGCTGGTTCATGGAAAAGTGCAGCAGTTCCTCGGACTCGAAGAAGTCGCCGAGCAGCTCCACCTCGAGGCTGGCCAAGACCTTGTTCATGCTCTCGAAAGTGTTGCGGGGCAGCGTGAGTTTGCCCGAGTAAAAGTAGTCGACGAGCCAGCGCACGGTCCACGACTCGGCGTCGCGCACCACAAAGTACGAGCCCGTCCGGCGACCCTTGGGCAACGCCTGCGCCACCTTGCTCAGCGCCGACAGGACAAAGTGGTTCGACGACACGATTTCGTGGTTGTTGAGCACCAAGAACGAGTCAAAGAAGATCTCCAGGCGGCGCAGGACGCAGAAAAGGTGGTCGAAGAAATTCTCCTGGCTCACGTAAAAGGGGTCGACGGACTGCGGGTCGCACCGGAGCACGTCGGACAAGTCCATGGCTAAAATAAAATAAGGAAGAATAAAAAGTGGAAGCAAGAAAAAGCTTGTTTAGGTTATCACATTTTATTTTAACAACTAATCACAAATTTCTTTGTAAATTAATCAATCTTTTCCATTTTGTACAACTAAATAATTTGTTTTTGACAAATTTGCGTTCACGACAAATTGGCCTTTTTCGCCTTTTCCAAATCCATCAGCGCGAGCAGTTCTTTCTCCCTTTTCTCCTGCAGATTCCGTTTGCACTTTTCGATTTGCTCGCGGTACATTTCGTTCTCGGGAGGGTAAACTTGCCGCCTTGTGTTCGTGACCCACTCTTCGAAAAGCTCGGGCTGATTGAAATAATGGAACAAGGCGACCGGGAAGGTCATGTACAGGGCCATTTTGCCCACTTCCAGCATCCAACCACCCATGTTCGATCGCGAGCAAATGCAAATTACCGATTGACTTGGAGGACGGCGAACCACAGAGGCAAAGACGACTTCTTCTTGTTTGCTCCTTTAAAGAGAGGAAAGCCAATGATTAGATTGAAAAATGCTACTGAAAGACTTTAAATTCAGTTAAGGTCGATTATTTTGGCATTTACCTGAGTTTAAATTGAAGAAATTCGATAAAAAGATCAGTTTTCTGAGCCAACTTTCACATCAACTCCACCATCAAAATGTTTTTGTTGACAACAGGAGGAAAAAACATGGCGGCTGCAGCTTTTCAAAGCATTTCGGCGCCAAAGCCACGTGCAACGGTGTCGTTCGCCAATGGTATCGAATCCTGCGTCGTGCATTCAGGTTAAAAATTCATACGGATAAAGGAGAAAGTTTTTTTGTATAATTTAAAGGATTAATTGACAAGATTTTTTTTATTATTAATTTTCAATGATTGGTTGATGAGTTTCACGTACGGAAGCAGAAAAATGGCACTTCAGAAAATTTAACTTTCTGAAAAAAATTCCATTTTATTTTTCAAAAAGCTCAAATTTTCACTTGCTGCCGCTGTATTTTTCATTGTTTATTAATCACTTTTTCTTTAAAAAATAATAATAATTCACCTCTGAAAATCATCATGTCGATTCAAAATTAGACGGGCTTAATTTTTCCCTATTCTTCCAAAGAAATTAAAATTAGCGTTCATTTTGAAAATTGAGCTCCAAGCTCTAAGTCTAAATTTCAAAGAAAGTGACATTGAACGTGTTCATACACGTGTGGATGTCGGGCGTCGCGAAATTGGACCAGAAAAGTTGTTATCAAATTCGTATCTCAAACCGAAAATTAAAAAAAGTCGATTTAGGAGTTTTTCGAAAATATTTTGTGTAATCTTTTTAACCTCATAACCATGTCCCTTGGTACAACCAAATAATTATGTTATTTTCAGAAAGTTATATTTTTCGACGTGCCATTTTCTGCGTCCATACGTTATTCTGGTCATTTATTATTATTTTTTAAATTGACAAAACATTACTTAGCTTATCAATTTGTTATCTCTAAGAATTATTAAATGGGTCGTGCGTGTTTTAAAAGATAATCTTGCTATATTCACAGTAAATACTTTTATTGCCATCGAAAAGAAATCCACAAATAACCATCAATCAAACAGTACAATTTTTATCGATTCATAATTCGTCATTTTTTTGTTTTCATCATCTTAAATATTGCTGCTGCTTTGAATGCGTGTTTGCGAGTTTATAAAAACTAGAAAAAATATCAATGCTGCAACTAATAGAGTTTGTTTGGCAGGTCACAATAAAATCAACCGATGTACATACGTAACACATTAGGACTTATACAGAAAATGTTTTTTTTTCTTTTATTGTTTTACTCTTTAACACTGAAACCCGTGTATGTGTGTGCTATATTTTTAGAATCTGAAAATTAAAATCTCGTTAGTTTTACACATAATTTTTTTTTTACAGTTTCATTTACTGTGATGCGCGGTAAGACAATAATTTCTTTGTTCACATTATTTTTTTCTTCTGATATGTTCTTCCAATTCTGTTAAAATTTTCTCAGCATCAGGAAGAATAATTTCATGTCAATGGCGAATTTTACAGCACTTTCGTTAATTTCAGGTTTTATTTTTTATTTGGCGACTTTTGCGCCAAATTTCGACTGTTCAATATGATTGCCAATGCAGGTCGTGTAAATTTCTTTTTAAGGGGCGGCGTTTCATTTTTTTTTTGGCAAAAGAGGAATTTTCCACTGCTTTTTTTATACACCAGAGAAAAAGAAATAAGTCATTTTTAATTTCGGTGGAAATTAACACAAAGTAAAAATAGTGAAATCAATGGCTAAAATGAGATTGTACATTTCCAGGAGCGCACGTTTTGCTCCTCGCCGTATTCACAGTAAAAAAGTTCTGAGGTAATCGATAGCTGATTGACTATTGAACGATTAAACAACTAAAAAACAACGACGTCAAATAACAAAGTGACAAAAATATAATAATATAAAAAGTTTGAATAAATTAATTAGAAAAAGTTGCTTATATATAGTAAAAAAGTACCTGTCTAGTTTCTAATCACAACAGCGAAAATTTCTCCTAATCAGAATTACGTACGTCTTCGTTTAAGTTTCATGCCGAAAAAGAAACACAGGGAGAATCACAAAAAAATTCGATCTATCAACATTGTGTCCGTCTCATCTTGGACACGATTGTTATACTTTTAAAAATATTTACAATGAAGAAGGTACCTGCTAAATGTTTTCTTATTAACATCTGCTGCTATATTAGTAGGGGGTAGTTGCGTGGGTCGTAGCGAGTGGTTAATTAGTTTATTGCGTATCAGGTAAGCCACCTAGATAGAGAAAGAGAAGAGAAATAGTTCGAGAGAGACGGTATTGTTCGGAAAAAGTGAAGCGGCGAAAATCTCACAACATTTTTCATTCACCTTCGGGACTCGAAAAAGAAAGTATTTGAAATAATTTTGAGCAAGATCCAAAAAGCTCAAACGAGTCCCAAGCACATTAAATTATTTGGCAAGAGTTTTTTATATTTTGATTAAATATTTCGGAAGTTAATTTTTTTTTTGTATTTTAGTAACGGGGGCAGAAAAGTTTCAAGGAGATTGAGAAAGAGAGGAAGCCTGTTGATTGTTTCAAACTATCTTTCGAGGTTCAATCAGCAATTTTCAGATTAGACTCGTTCTCTATAATAAACAAGGTTCGTCCCTAATGATTGATTAATTCGTTAATCATGACTGATGAATTTTCGCGTCGTTTTCATAGATCACATGCTAAGTTGCCTAAAAACTCCAGCCTTTTCATTGTTCGGATGATTGCATTCAACGGCGACAAACATCGATTTGAGTGGCTCTGACGTATCTCTTACATTTGTTTCTTTGTTTTTTCTCTTCAGTTATTATATCACTGTAACTAGTTTTTTAGAAGCTCCTACACACTGTGATGGGGACATTGAAGTTAATACACGTCTAAAACCACTCTATTTAACACCATACAATATCCATCAAAATATAATACACATCTCTGAAAATATCATCTGCATCTATTTTAATAATTTCTTCTTCGTCACACTAATTATAGATTTTCTCGCAAACCTTGCTTCTTTCTCCATTAATAAATTCTTCATGGCACACGCTTGCTTGCTTTCTATAAATTTTTTTCTCTCGTCATATCGTCGATTTTTGGTTCTAGATCTCTTCTTCGTAGACAGAGTTTATTTTATTTTTTGTTTCTCGATTCGTATGTGTTTTACTAAAATGGCACTTTGAAATTTTTATCATCAATTACATAATAATTATACATATTTCATTTTCGCTCGTGTTTGAACTCCTTCTTCTTGTGTCCGTATTGGCAGTTTGCGTAGCGTATAATTTTTCATTCATTGCGCTGTCAATCGAACAAACCAAAGTGAGATTTGGAAAATTTGTCATTCTTCGTCATCGTTTTTGTTTGTATATTATATCCTCTCATCATATCAGTTCTATATTGTCGTGCTCTCGATTCGAACGGAGTGGGACAGATGAAATCAACAACAGTACGGCAAAGTCGGCATGCAAGTTTGGAGGGTTTGACAAAAAACGAGTTTGCTGCATATTATAACAGTTTTCACAATAATAAAAGGCATCTATTTATGAGGTATCAAGCTGAAGCTATTGCATTATCGCTGGGGAGTTCCAAAGCGCGTCTCGTCATAATTTATAATATAATATTTATACATACGCGCTTGTCGAAAACGTTTCACAGATTTTTGGAAATCCCCTCGAGAAAGAGAGAGAGAAAAGGTGATAACGGCGTCACTATTGTTCTTGTAAATAATTAATCTTTCAGGGACAAACGTCTCGCAAAAAAGCATAAATATATTTAGAGAATAATTATGCGAGAAGTGCATCGGTGAAGTAATATAACTATGTAAATACATATGTCTTACAGTAGCGTATTGTTAAGTGTGAGTTTGTGTGTAAAGAGGATGAAGGAATCAAATTCGGAGGCGCACCTCCGACCAAAGTACAGAGGAAGTACATATTTCTGTCTAACAATAAGTGGATGCGAACAACGCTAGAATAGATTGGCTCATGACTGACCTCAGGTTTCAAATTAAGGTGGCGTGAGTCTCTCGTGCAAAATTATAAATGCACCAAGCAATGAAATGATACCGATTATAAGAAATAATAATGGGAAAATATTTTTGCGACACTGCTTCTTTAAATGCGCTAATTTTGTTTCAAACAAAAAAAAATATCATAAATATCCTCGTTATTAAATTTTAATAACTTTTGGTCCGATCAAACAATTGCAGTTTCCTTAAAAACTTCAAATTCTGAAGAAATAAAGATCTAAAAAACAAATTATCAAATTTTTTCTCACCAAACAAGCACATTAAATAGTTTAAGTTGAATTACTCCGCTTCTATAATTCAGCTCAAATTTGAGTTCTACATTGCAGTGATTATCTGAATAACCAAAATTATGCCAACCTTCCAATCTAAATAAATTTTTACCTTTCGTATTTTATACTCAATGCACCTCAACCAGAAACAGTTAAAAGTAGATTTTCTCATAATTTTACGTGAAATAATCCAGGAATTAAATTATTTTTTCTGTTGCCGATCATTCCTAGGTGTTCACATCCACTTTGTTGAAAGTGATTCTGCGGGAAAAAGTATGTAAGTTGTGTGTTGTTACTACCCAAAGATGAATATTATCTCGTACGTTACGTGGTTGTTGTGTGTTTTTCCGTCAGTATATTTATATCAGAATTATAATGGCTGCTGCTGTGTAAATTGTGTATCGATAGGAACCAACTGTTGCGTTTGGCCGGCGCGCCCAGCGGAGGAGCGCGGCGCGATAATCGCTCAAAACACAGTGGTGCGCCCGTCCGCCGCTGGACCGGCCGGCCAGTGTTAATAAATACTCAAAAATCAGTCGCATAACAAACGCAAAATTTCGCAGATCATATAACAAAAAGGAAAAGTCTCTTAACATTATAACTGCTGTAACAAAAACAGTTGCAAAATGTATGTAGTATTGTTCGTAAGAAAGAGATATAAAAACAAGTCAGAGGTAGATGAGATACAGCATAGTATGGTGTTTGTCGAATGTGTGTGAGTTTTTGTGTTTCATCATCATCATTATATATAATTACTGGTTAATGGTTGAAAAATATCGTTCCGGGACTTCGCCTGGAAGTCGTTCTGTCTGTCACTGTTAAAAATTCGATCGCAAAAGTAAAATAGGCCAATTCGAATGAGTGTGACAGTTACTTACACGTATTTGCATGCGGGTGCAAGACATTCATATAGATTCGGAAACGGATGTGTTGTTTGAAATCGGAGAAATATGTATGTGTGTGTGTATAATATTGTATATATATTAAAGTTCTAAGTAAGAATCGGATCACCAGTGAGCCTTTTGAGAGGTAGAAGCTATTTCGTTCTGTGGATGAATGAAATACATTATTATGAATGGTGGTGACCTGTGCCAAAACTACATTATTTCACATTTACGTAGAAAGGAAAATGAAAACTCTTTCGAAACGTGCAGAGGTGCATACGCAAAAGCAACAATTCCTGTTCTTCAGAAAGTAGAGTTTTACGAGTTTGAGATAAGAGAGGTTGAAAATGATATTTGCACATATAAACGGAAAATTACTTTTGCTGAAGATTAAAATTTGACCTCAATTCCAAAAAACTCAATTATAAAATTGCTTTGTGCAATTTTTTTAAATTAAATGGTTTGTAACAGAAATTTAAAATTCTTATCTTCAAAATCTAAATAAATTTAACAATTGAAAAATTAAAGTTACTTCCATTTTTACTCATTTTACTTAACGTTGACCTTTTCAGCCTCTCCTTTTCAAAATTGAAAAACTCTTCTGTTGCGGAAAAACTTTCAATCCAAAGTGAAGACACCATTTCAAGTCTGCAGCTCACTTCTTAATTTTAAACATTTCTGTACGTATATATACCTAAAAGTCTCAAATTTGGCAGTTAAAACGAACTACAAAGTCATTTTGGCACACGGTCTCAAAACTCAACCTTACAAACTAATATCATGTGTGTTTATGTACGCAACGTCCTCAACACCCACGCAGGTGGGCCGCTCGGAATGAGAGAGAAAAAGGAAAAAAAATCAACTTGTGCTTAGTGTGAATTGTTGAGGTGGGTGGTGAGGTGCTTGGACAGATAGTCGGCCCTGGCGAAGCACTTGCCGCAGATGTCGCAGTGGTAGGGCCGCTCGCCGGTGTGGATGCGCAGGTGGCGGTTCATGTCGCTCTTGCCGCCGAAGGCGCGGCCGCAGAACTCGCACTCGAACGGCTTCTCGCCGGTGTGCTTGCGCACGTGCAGCTTGAGGTTCTCCTTGGAGCGGAACGACTTGTGGCAGAAGACGCACGTGAACTTGCGCTGCACGTCGTCCAGCTTCAGCAGGTTGTACAGGGAGGACGGCTCGGCGGCCGGCGCGCTCGGCGGCGCCGAACTGGTCGACGCGCTGTTGTTGTTGGACGAGGACGAGGACAACGCCAGGGCCATGGCCAGACTGTCGATGTCCTGCTCGGACTCTTGTCCCGAACACCGTCCGACCGCCTCGTTCGAGCTGGTCACGTGGTTGTCGGGCGCCTCGAGGCCGCCGGGCTGCTCGTCCTCGGACTCTGCCGGCGGGGGCGGAGGGGCCGGCTGGTGGTAGAGGCGGGCCAGCAGGACGGCGTCGTCGGCGTCCGAGCGTCCGGGCGGCTGCAGACGCTCCACGGCGTGGTTCAGTCTGTGCTTCTTGAATGACTTGAGGTAGCGGAACTGCATGCCGCAGATTTCGCAGCGGAACGGCTTCTCGCCGGGCAGGCGCGCCGTGTGGTTCTGCTCGCGGTGCTTGGCGTACGCCGACTGGTACTTGTAGCACTGACCGCACTGGTCGCACTTGAACGGCTTCTCGCGCGAGTGCAGACACAGGTGCTGGTCCAGCGGCATCGACGCCGGGAAGTGCGCCATGCACAGCGGACACTTGACCGTGGCGCCGCCGTCGGCGACGCCGCCGCCGGCGGCCAGGAAGCGCTGCAGCGCCTCGCCGCCCGTCTGCAGCAGGCTGGCCAGCGAGGCCGCCGGCTGGCCGTCGCCCACCGTGATGGTCGGGATGCCGCCGACGCCGTTCGAGATCGGGAAGGGGAACGGCAGCGGCGACGACGGCGCGCTCGACGAGTCGCGCCCCGGCGGCGGCGACGGCGAAAATGACGGCGGCGACGTGTAGCTGCCCTCGATGATCATCACCTCAGGAGACGTGATGTCGTCCTGCAAGAAACACGCATGAATGAGAATGCAGTTTTATTAAATAATTAAATATAAATTAAAAAGGAAAAACGATCAAAGCTGCTCTGTTGAAAATTCTATATGATTTATGAGGAACATAATTATAACAGTAATTAATTCAGAGAAGCAACAGTTTCAGCGGCAAAATCAGGTTTAGATTGTTAAATGATTTATTTGGTTAAGTTCAAATATGCAGGAAACCATCACACCGACGCATTTTACTTCAAATAGTGGAAAATATGATATTTATTTGCATCTAAACATAGATTTCACAAGTCAAATGATCATTCTTGAAAATGTTTTGCTTTATAATTCATGTTTGAATTAACCATAATAATAACTGAGCTGCAATCAATTTTTTTTCATGTATGACTTTAGTAGAATAAACAACAACATTGCAACTTAAGAAACAATTTCTTGGAAGAAATGAATAATTGATTAAATTGCCTTTTAGGCCATTTATGTATAAATACAAACAATAAAATACACCTTTTGACTTAAAGACAAGACCAAAATAATACCTATGTGTGTATTAATATGAAAATATTAATATAAAAAATCAAAAAAACATATATTTCTTTAAAATTTCAAAAAATATAAAATAATTATATTAATATGATATTTATTAAAATATGTAGCTTTATAGACGTAATGTAATATTGCAATTAAAAATAAAGAAAAGCATTTAATTTATATTTTTTTCTTCCTTCTGTAGTGGGGGTTGCAGGCAGATTAACTGGTATTTTACCAGTTATTTTTTTTTGCATGAGGACATCGCCCGTTTTACTTGAATTTTCTAATGATTTGTATAAATTAAATTAAAAAAACAAATTAATTTCAACTCGAGAATCTCAGGATTTGCGGGATTCAAAAATTCAACTGTGAATTTTAATTTTCATTAATTAATTTAGCTTTTTTTATACATTTTTTATTCTTTCCCAGACAAAGGAGATCACTGCTGGTAAAATGGTACCAAAATTTGCGACGTGCATCCAAACATGCGTGCCAAAAGTCATTATAATTGATGAAAATTCTTAATTAGTCTTGTTTCAAACTAAAAAATTATTCTGAAACTGCTGCTCAATTCTGAACCTGAATTTTTAAACCTTCAATTTTTTTTTAAATGAACATAAATAATCAGCACCTAGGTAGTATTTTCATTTTGAATTTACAAATTTTGTGTTATAAAGTTTAGGAAATTTTTGTACTCAACCATTCAAGAGAAATCATGCACCACACTGAAAATAAGAGCAACCTAAGAATAGGCGCATGCGTCAGGTTGCTGAAGAACAAAAAAAAAAGAGTAAAACACAATCTGACATGGAATAAATATTGAATATTTTGAGGAACCTTTGTCAAAAAACACAAAGATGCGAATCCATTTACAGTATTTTTTTTTTATTCTGTCAAAAATCTTTTACATCTATGATATGCATTTGTGTTTGAAAGAGCATACTTTTATTGTTATTCTCAAGAAGAATTATTCAATTATTTAAATAGAAACAAACAAGCATTGAATATGGGCAAATCATATAAGATGGACATTACAGTGTAATCAACTATCGACTTAAAACTGAAGGATGCACATTATTAATTAAGTATGACAGTAGAAGCGGAGGGTGCGTGTGTACAAAAGTGGTCACTTTTCGATTCGAATACACAAACGATAATATCAAATCGAATCAAAAAGAAGAATTAAAAAAAAAATCATCAAACAGGGCGGCACAAAATCTGCGGGACAAACTGAAATTCGAAGAACAATTAACGGCGTCAATGGATTTTTCATTTTTTATTTTTTGCGTGAGTGTTTGCGTACAAATTTATGCTCTTCCATACCTCAACACGATGTTACAAGCTTGCATCATCACATTCTATCACAGAAGACCTCGGCCCAATTCAGTCAATTATACATTATTTCATCGTTTTTCGAGTGTCAACTTCATTCAATTTTTGGACCCCATAATACATATTATAGAATCAATAATTCAACAATAACTTCGAAGCCTACAGCACAATTCACGTGAACAAGTTAAATTAGTACAACTAATAACCACGCAGTTAAATATGGGGCTGCGAAAAAACGTGACAATTTCATTTTTTTTCTGCTCACATACACGTACAATATGATGTCAAATCATAAGACACTGTGGCTATTCGTTTTGCTTTTAGACCTAAATTTATTGCAACGATTATTTCCGAAGTGCGTGGTTCGCGTTTTCACAAAAATTCGCAAAAGAATAAAAAAATTTGACTAAATAATATATAATTCAATTTTTAAATCGCCGAAAATTCAGCTCATGTCAATAAACGAAAACTTAACAAATCTGTCAGCTTCCTTTAAATAATTTGGTATAATTTTTAATCAACATGCACAAGTCTCTCGTATTTTAATTTTCTTTTTAATTGATTACGCAGTGCAGAACGTTTATTATCTCGTGTTGAAGGTGTGTCTGTGTCTCGACCAGCGACGCTTTTCTTTCTCTTAATGCCAATTGCCATAATTTCCAACTTGACAAATCACACGCTTAGAAAAATACATACTTTACTCTCTCGATTCATTATTATCGTCGACTTTTAATTTTTACAAACGTTTTTTTAGAGTGGAAATAACAGCGCTCAGTTTTCTTCTGTTCCGGTTATTTTAGACACAGCCCTTGTAACATCCCTCGTCAGCATGATTTTTGCTCTCGAATCTTTTTTTCAATTTTTCAATTAATTAATTTTAGTCTCCAAGTATATGATTAGCACCTGACTATTATAATATAATATCTTTAGAAAAATTTGCGCTAGATTATTGTTGTTTTTTTTTCTCCAAAAAAGTTGCGCGGTGCTTATCCTTGTCTCGATTTTTAATTTTACTTCAAACAACACGGTTTCCTAGCTAACACGTACATAATAGTAATTTTAAGTGATTACAGCTTATAAATTTTGAATGGAGTCGAGCGGTCTCTCTCTCTTTCGGGCGGACGGCGCGGGCCAACGGCTGAGCTCGGCGGCCGAAAAAAAAACAATCAGCAACACTCAGTGAATATCTAACAAACTCGCAAGGCACAATATCACAAACTGCGAATTCATCGATGGTGCCATGTGCGTAGAGTCAGTCCGGTTGTAAAAACTATAAATCGTTTTATTGTTACCCACGTGTGTAGCAATAAAATTGTATATATTTTGACAAATTAATCAGTTTGAGTATTAGTGCAGAATCGCGGGTTGTATTTTACTTCGGAACAATGGCAGTGATATCTGCTGCGTTTGGTGGGTTTACCTCTTTAAAATAGCTCGGTGATCGCTGTCGATATGTGTGCTGTCTGACACGAAATCCCTTCCGATTTCTTTCTTATATAAGATTATTTAAACCGTCTTCAGCCGCAGTAAAAATATTATGTATGCATACGAAGCCACAAATGCGGCAATCGTTTGATTTGCTTTCTGTGTTTTTTTTTCGTCTACAAAGTAGTGAATGTTTTGATGTGGACCCTGTTTACCAGTAAGATTTTTGTTTAATTTTTTTTCATCGTACCAAGTGGGGAAAATACACGTTTTTCAACACGACAAGTTCGGTGGGGAAATCAAAAAATCGATCTCTGTCTGAAAAAGGTTTCGGGAATTGACCAAAGGTGAAATTTGACTTGCTTTCTGCTTTATAGGCACTTTGATATTTTCCGCACATCTGGTATATGTATGTATGTATGTGTGTGTGTAAACTCTCTACAGCTGATGACAACGCAAACGTTTTAAAAATATAGAAATCCGCCGCCGAGAGCTGTGGCCCGAGGGTCCGCGCCCGTGTTTTTATCATTTTTTAATCCCTTAATTTTTTTCATTGCGATATTTACACGGTCGATATGCTAATCAGCTAAATATGTAAAAATCCTCCTTTACACGATCATTTGCTTAATTATCAGTTAACAATAGATACAGTAGATAATAGTCAGTGTCGAGTATCGAATAGAAAGGCCTAAATGATTATTACTTTTATTATTGTTAATTAATTAAGCTATGCCGCTATTGCCTGTGAGAGTGAGAAAAATGTGTGTTGTGTGACCTTATTTGAGATTTTTTTGCTGATTTTTCTTATTGTTCGTTCTAAGGGTTTCATGCTGGAAACGCTCTCTCTATTTTAATGTGGTAATAATAACGTTGTTTAAGTGTATGTGTGTGTGTGTGCTTTGCCCGAGGCGAACGGAAAGTAATCCAACGAGGAATTTTTTTTTTTTGCTCTATATAAATACACCCAATTAAAATAACACTCAAGTCATCTCTATCAAAATATTCGTATATGTATGTGGCTGGTAAAAAACTGCTTTGCCTTTGGAGAGGTCAAGGTATTTATGTGTGTGAGTGTGTTTTTGGTACATATACGAAAAATATACAAAGGTACGTTACATTATTGCTCTCAAACTGAATAAGTGTATTCAAACTTGATTGATTGTTCTAATTATCCTTGATGCGAGTGACGATTGTGATATTTATGTATGTTTATTCGAGTATATATTAAAATGAACAGCTTTTTTAAGCCGGTGTGTGTGTGTGTGTGAGAGTGAGAGATTTTGTGTGATATTCTACAGCCTCGTGGTGTTATTTTCAATATACTTATGCGTCGAAATTTAGAAAGACAGACCAGACACAGAGAGAAGGCGACAGAACGGATAGAGACACGCTTTCTATATTATATAGCATTAAGTCAGTGGTGATTACACGCAATTAAGTTCAATAATTAATATATTGCCCATATAACAGTAGTCTTTTGCCTCTCAAACAGCTTGCTAATCTTCATTGTTTTTTTGTTTTCAACGACAAAAACACACGAAAACCTCGTCAGATAAAACTAAAAAACTCAAATTAACTCAGACCATTTAATTAATTTAATATTATTCAATAAATAAATTATAATAACGCATGAATTATTATACACTTGCGTCGTCTTTAGAATGTGCATTTCGTATTTAGTCTGATCGCGTGAAGTGGCTCAATCATTTCACCGTTTTAACGCCGAGTTTGTTTGTTAGTTTTTTTGCCTATTGTTTTCGTTCTTTCACTAACAGAGAGCATCGTGGATTGAGGAAATTGATATAAATAAAGAACCAGCCTGTCCAGGTGGTCTCAACCCATAGTTTGTGTGTTAGATTCGCGGTCGTCGCATTTTGTATTGTGTGCTGCAGTCGTTTCTTTCAAAGAAAAACTAAGTAGAACGGCTTTGAAAAGGCAAAACTTTGGTATCCACCTGGATCGGTAGGCTACAGAGGCAAACTAATCTAAGCAAATGTTACACAAAATTAAAAGTTATCCACCCAAAATCGTCTTAAAATTTATACACAGAAAAAAAGAACTATTGTATTTTCATTATGGAATGGCAAACAAAAAGATTCAAAGGCTAATTAAATTAAAACCTGTTCTACTTTGTCTACAAAAAAACATTATACTATTTTAAACTTGTAGGTCCTTCTAGTAGGAAGAGTTACATAGGGAGTTTGCTTTCCTTTTGCATTTGGGAGGATGTGTGTTGTGGTTTATGTGCTTTTCAATCTAAAAAAATTGATGATGCTAATTGCCGGCGGAGCAAGTTAAAAGTAGCCATTTATAATTAAAAAACGATTTTTTTTCCTCGCGAAAGCACCTCGCACTACACATTTCAAATCAAACGCAAAGTGGTGGGGGTTAATTAAATAAATTAAGTTTGCGCAGAACATTCTCCTCAACTTCTTCATTTCAGGAACTTTCTTGATAATGTATGGTTTTTCTTGTCACTCTCCAAGAAATTCACATTTTTTTTTCTCGTATGACTTACTAGGAATTTTGCACATATAAGATTTTTTTAATTAAATTAAAAATGGCATGAATAAGGCAGCAAACATTAATTAGGAATAAGTATAAGGGAGTATTTTAGTTTTCAACCTTCTCAAGCATGCGAGCGAGTGGCTCATCAAAAAGCGATGACGGCGCCACTGCCATTTCCCCTTTCTTTGATGACGAATTTCCCAAGATCGAATATAAAAACAATTAAATTATCACAAGAAATATATATAGCTGGTGAACGTAACTTGAAATTAATAATAAAAGATATCATCGATCAATTCCATTGGCCGTTTAAAGCTAATACTGATCTTGTTTTTTTGAAAAGTATAACAAATTTTCGTTTAAAAATATCACAAAAGTGCCAAATCGAGTAAAGATAAGCCTCGAGTCCGATCAATTTCCGAGATATAAAATTTCTTTCACAACTAAATAACCAACAACGACGACTTGCAACAATTTCTTTTATACTAGGAATGTTTCGGTTTGCGTGATTCGTGTATTATTTTTCAGTAATCGATGGCTTCTGACAGCTCTACACTTTTAAATTGGAATTGTAAATACGTATTTTTTTAGTCAAGTCACTTAAATCTCTCATGGATTCATGGAAGATCTATACAGGGGGCCAATTGTGAAATCTATTGCTTTTGAGATGGTGTGTTTTATTTTTTAAGTTACGCGCGGAGAAACGAAAACGAAATTGAGTATTGACGACTTGCTGCGCGCGAGACGAAAATTTACATCATCAGACACTCAACTCGCTTTTCCCACCAACTATGTATGAGAAAAAAAATCAGAGAGGGAAATGCAGTTATTTTTAACAAAGTAAAAAGTGGTAGTACTTCCATTCAGCAGTTCTTAATTATATCTTGAGATCCTAGTCCGTGTTTGTGAATCACAAAGTGCTTCATTTGTTAAATCTTAATAAAACAAAGCCTTCTTTTCACATCTTAATAATCTCAAAATTATTTCTTTCTCATTTTTCTCTAGTTAATTTCCTTGGTCTGCAGCCTTCAAAATTATATACGTTCTCTAATTCACTCATTTTTTTTTTCAATTGAATAATTAAATTAATTAAGCTTCTCAGAACTGATAATGCACTACAGCGCAGTCGCCTCGCAATTATGTACCGAATTCAAAGCGGTGTGTGAGTGCAATCTCATGTGTGAAACTTAAACGTCCTCTCTCGTATATATAAAGATATAATTTAATTCGGGGTGGGGTGATTCGGGGTTCCTATCATTTTAACTCACTAACAAATAATCCTAGTTATGTGTATGTGTTGTGTGTGTCAAGAACTATCACAGCTTAAAAAAGAGCCGGCACTCTCGGATAATTCTGAATATCCGCGGCTCGTCTCTTTTGTTGCATATTATGATGTGTCTTTAGGGTCACCTACCCAGTTTGTCGTTTTTTTCCATTTTAAATTCCGTTTTTGATAATGTTGTTTTTATATAAAAAAGGTTAATTTCCGTTTTTAAATTTTTAGTGTAAATTTCGGGAGGGACGCGCCCTCGAATAAACTAATAAAATTATTCAATAACCAACCAAAATAGTCAACTTTTTTTTCCAAAAAAATAATTCGTTCTAACAAGAGAGAGATAGGTTTGGCCAAATCCTCAAAGATTTTGCTAAAAACAACAAAAATTTGTTTCGCCAATCATCACGAAAATAGGACTAGATGAATTTGCTTGTTGTTGTCGAATGCGTGCGCCGAGTTGCTCGTTGCGGGTGCGGTGCGACACGGCAGTCAGTTAACAACTCTCATTTCTACGCTTAACAACTGGGCAGAGATGTCTCGCGGGTACCTTTGATTGGCGGTGCTCGCCAGAGGAGAACTATATCATAAAACCTGGGAAAGGGGCATTGCAGGCCAAAGGACAGCGGCGGTCCTCCAAAGGGCAACAAGACACACAAATTTTTACGAAAAAAAATTTGAAAGAATCAAAAGACCGTTTAAAACGATTCATGATAATAATTTCAATTTAAATCTATTGATGCAATGTTTGAGAATTTTGCTTAAAATTTCCTAAATAATGATACAGATTTCTACTAGGAATTGATTAATTTTAAATTCAGTTTTCTGGACGTTTCAAATAAAACAATAGATTTGAATTAGGAGTTCTAAATTACAAAAAAGTAATAATTTGATCAAAAAAATTTTAAATTATCTATTATTATTTTAGCATTCAGTTCTTTTGTTTTGAAAACTTAAAAAAACCAGTGAATATTTTCCTTTCAGACAAATTGCATCGGTCAAAGGAAATAAAAATTTGTGAGTTCATTGATAAGAAAAAAATCGCTTTAAACTTGTTGCGGCCTTGGGGTCACCGGTGTCGATTTGGGGCTGCGCAACCCGCGCTCTACGGGGGCGGCGTTCTTGATAAGGAACCTAACGGTGGGGGCGGGTGGGGCGGCTGCTGCGACGTCGACTCGGAGGCGTCGACGGGGCTCGGCGAGAGAAACTTCCTCATGTACTTGGGGTAGTGGGTCTTCTCGTGCGCCTTGAGGATGGTGCTGCGCGAGAAGGTCTTGCCGCACAGGGCGCACCGAAAGGGCCGCTCGCCGGTGTGCACGCGGCAGTGGTCTTTCATGTGGTGGCGCAGCTTGAACGCTTTGCCGCAAAAGGAACACTTGAAGGGCCGGTCGCCGGTGTGCGCCGGCAGGTGCGCCACCAGCGCGCTCACGTCCGGAAACGCCTGGCCGCAGAACTTGCAGACGACGGCCGAGCCCTCGGCCGCGTCCACGGCCGACGAGCCGGCCGACGACGGCGAAAAGTCCAGTTTGAACGGGCTGAAGTCGGACTCGGCCGGCAGACCGAGCGCCGCCGCCGCCGAGGACGAGGTCGACGCCGAGTCCGACTTGAGCTGCGGCCGGAAGTGGTTGTCCAGGTTGAGCGGCTCGATGGGCGCCGTGGTCGGAGGCAGGAGGAAACAGGGGTCGCGGTACTTGAGCGAGTCAAGACTGTGCGACAGTATGTGCCTGGTTAACTTGCTTTGATGCGGGAATATGGCAGCGCAATACATACAGGAATACAACTTGTTTGGTAGACTTTTATCCCCTCCCTCTTCGCTATCCTGCAACAAATAAACATCAACTTCTTTTATCCAGCCCTGGTAAGGTTTTTTGGTTTGTTTGCAAATTTTCAAAAAACTGTTTATAACAACATGAGAGAAATATATAGAGAGATTATTATATATATAAATGTGCTCTTTTTACATGTAAAAAGGTTTGAGAGTACGTTATGCAAGCAAGGGAAGAGATTGATTTTTTTTTTCATTGCAACTTGCTCGTTTCTTTTTAATATATTCATTTTACCAAGTTATGTATAGAGAGAGAGAGAGATAATGACTATAATTAATTTTCATTACTGATCAATTGACTGACTGATTTTTTGCCTCAAGGATGGAGTCGAGATTGCGAAAAGAAAGAAGTTGACGTTCATTTGTCCAAAAATCAAAGCAGGATATATATAATTATGTATATTGACCGAGACTTTACAATCAAGGGAGTTGAGATCTCAAAGTTACCTCACAAAAAACACAAAAACCAAAAAAAGATATATAAATGTATGTAGAGTATATATATAATATATATTTATAGATATGGTCAAAAGAGACAGTCATTTGACACTTTGAGTTTGCACTTCCAGTGACACAAATGCATAAAACGTAGACTCAAAATCTCAGAATGGGCGGCCATTTGGAGAAAATGAAGGTCAACTTCTAACAAACTTAAAAACAAAACAACAATCAAAGTCATCACATACGTATATATAATAATTTAAATGCAAGAGTACTTTTTTTTAGATTGATACGTATGTAGGCCTCCCTAATTTTTGACAGTTATTTATTGTGTGTTCAAATGTGTGTGTATGTTTTTGTGCTAAAAGGAATTTGCACATCGCAAATAGCACGATGGTCTCCACTCAGCGGATTTTTACTGATTCAGTTAGAGGAAGTTGAAAGGTATTACCAAAGAATCTAATTCAACGGATTGATTTAATGAAATATAGCTCGGGAGAGAGATTATAATAATAATTGCCAAGAATGTTTCACTAATGGGTATAATATGTGGAGCTGATGTATGCAAATTATCAACTGGCGAGTTTACATACCGAAGTTTTATTACGCCATGACATCCATGGGAAAAACATCATGAAATTTCGGTTCCTCTGCAGACGGGAGTTTGAAAATACATAAATTTAATTGTGCGGTTGTTAAATATAGCAAATTTCCTATTCTATTCTCTTTTAACTTTGTTCTGAGTGGGTTAGTGGAAAAAGTAGTCCTTTCCTTTTTATCCAAAAAAGTAGTTCTTTGACTCTCGAAATAATTATTGAACTCTTGACAAAACATGCTTGACATGCATTCCAAAGATCATCTCAGATATGTATCGATTTTTCAGATAATAAGAAAAAGAGAGAAACTGAAAATAATAAAAAGGTTGCGAAAAAGTTTGAGCAAAACTTACAGGATCTAAAGGTGGTCTATACTCTGATGAGCCTTCCCCCGTTGTGCTTTTGTCGTCGCCAGTACTGCTCCGTTCACCCCAATCAACTTCTTTCTTCAAAGACTGCAAGTGCACAAAGACGTATTTTAATTTTGCTCTTTTCAAAGACGCGCCGGACGCGACTCAAAGTCCGACGTGTCTCGCGCCCAACGGCGTTTTTATTCAGGTCCTCACCAGTGGCACTTGTTGGACTGGTAACAACCCCGAAGGTCCTGGTATTGGATCCGACCTCGGCGATGTTAAGCCTCCCGGTGGTTCGCCAGGTATTGCATGTGGTCCAGGGGTTGTTTCTTCACTCTGAAATTTTAGAATCGATAAGGAAATTGTTCTCTATTCAACCACTAAAAATAAAAATTCAATAAAAATGATATACAGCATTATTAAAATTAATAATATTTTAAATTTAAATAAAGGTTTTTTAAATTAAAAAGTTATTGGAAATAAGAAGATTTTGCAAAATTAAATAATAAATTTAAATTTACTTCTAATTTATTAAAAGTAAATTTATATTTATTATTGAGGTAATGTCCCAGAAGAAGGAGACGAAGGAGTTTAGATTTATTTTAAACTGGTTGTATTGGTCACTATTTTATAAAACAATTTACACTGAAGTAAAATTAAATCATTATTGTTTTTACAGAAAACTTCTTCACCTTCTTTTACGTTAAATTTAATGAAGAACGAGAATTAAAAAAAAAAAAAAAAATTGAGAAGGTTAGAGAATTAATCGATTAATTTTATGATTCCCTTCAATTATAAAAAACTTAATTTCCATTCTAACAAAAAATATTTCAATCTACAGAAATGAATTTTTTTTTAAAGGAATAAAATTTAATATGTCATTTTTATTTAATTTGTAATAAAAAATTAACCTCTTGCATGGCTTCGTCCTCGTCCTCTTCATTCTCACTGTCGGATGAGGTCGGAGGGCCCGAGTCATGTCTGCTGCAGGGGGCGGGAGGGGTGGGTGCGGGGGTGGTTTTCAGTTCGAGCGGCTGAGGTGAGGGGGCGTCCGGCGGCGGCCGCTTGGCCGTCTCGAGGCTGAGCGGCGTGGCCTCCGGACTGGCGCACGCCCTCTTCTCCACGCTGGCCGTCATCTCGACGAGGCCTTTGACCCTGAGGCTCTCGGCCGTCTGCAGGAGGGCCGACAGCTGGCCGTACTCGACGTTGACCTCGCCCTTGTACATGAACTCGAGCAGCGTCTTGAGCTCGGAGAACTTGACGTCCTTGAGGATTACGATGGGGTGTCTGTCCGGGTGGTCGACGAAGAGCGACTGGAAGAAGGACGAGCACGCCGAGAGCACCACCTTGTGCGCCCTGAGCGAGTGGCCCTCGCACGCCAGGGTCACGTCCACCAGCGACTCATCCTGCAGCAGCTGATTGAACACCCCCAGCAAGTTGCTCTGATGATTGTTCCACCGGAGGCAGTACTGTTCGCTTCCCATGACTATACCCTGCAACAGCAATACACACAAATTTTAAAATTTTATTCAAAGTATAATTTTCATAAAATTATGTCAAAGAGAATTGAGGAAAAGAGCGCAAATAATTTAATTTTTATTGGAAAACAAATACTTTACTGAAACGGAATTAAAATATTCAACTCCTAAAACCTAAAACCTTCTATTTTTGTGACACTGTCAAGAATGAAAACAACTTACATGTACTTAAACTAATAAGTAGATTAATTAAAACTTGAATATAAAGTTATTGTTTATTTTTAACGCTGAAAAACAATTTTAAAATAATTAATTCCATTTAATGAGGATTTCCCATTCCTCAAACTTCCTAAATTACAATTATATTATGCATAAATTCAATAATTCATAATCATAACAAATTATTTTTTCAATTATATTGAATCAACACATCATATTATCTTTAAAAAGAAAATATTTCATTATAATTATTATTATTAATTTTTTATAAAATTTACAAATTGTTTCTTCCATATGTGAGAAGGTTCAGTTTTTAAAAAAACAGAGAGAAATAAATGATCAATTAAATGAATTTATAAAAATACAAAATACACCATCAAAACGAAAGCCTACAGTGCAACAAATATAGAAAAAGGTTCTAAAATATAATAATATTCATTATACTTTAAAATAGTTATTTAACTATATTTTATTTTAATAATAATTTTATTTCATGAAAATAAAATTTTTATTTTTATTGTTTTAAATATTTAATATCTTTATATAATTTATTTTATCTATTTAAATATTAAAAACTTATATTATTTTATTTTTCAATATGAATTTCAGTTATGAATTTAAAAAAATTAAATTTTTTAAATAATTTATTATAGTATTGTTTCTGTATCCTATGCTTAAATCTGGTAAAGATAATATGCAATTTAACATTTTACAATTCACAAATATTAAAAAATAAATTATTTTCCTTTTTCTACCTATTTTTGTTGACTACTGTTTTTTTTTCAAAATAATAAATTATAATAAGACCAGCTGGAATTAAATAACATGAAAAAAAGGACTGAGACTTTCATGAATATCCCGTTTTAAAATTTGAATTGATATTATTGAAAAGCCAATAATGAAAATCAACGATGAAAACAAAAATTCAATTAATAAACATTATAAATAATTCTGCAAATAATCGAAATTTGATTAAATATTCGGCCGACCGAAAACAGCCCCCTGCGCAGAGGGAGCCATTTTTAATAGGCGCGTGAGCAATCTTTAAATGGCCACTCATCAGCCAGACAATAGGCCTCCCTCGTCTGCTGCCACCCTCCCCCCAGCAACCCCCAAATACAAATCGCTGCTCGGAGCTTTGACGCCGCGCTCGGAAGGTCCGAATCTCACCTCTCTTCCCATCGGAGGCGCTCGCCTAAGTGACTAGAAGCATCCTGAGTAATTCACAGCATTTTCTCACTCGGCTCGCCGAAATTACGGCGGCTTCAAACGGGCAAACATTTAATTTTGCGCCGGACTAGAATTCGCACTCATCCTTACTCTGCGACGGGGGAGGCGACGACTACGTGACTCAAAACGCAGACGCCCACGATCCGGCCCCGAAACGCTTCCCACGCCACAAATCGAACCCAAACCGCAAATCAAAAATCAAAATTTGAATTTCAAATGCAAAACGGGCCCGAAAAACCGGATTTTCGAACCGGAGCCAGTCCGCCGGCCGAGTATCGATTTTGTGGCGCGCAGTTTGAATGGGAGCAAATTCTTGGCCGCGCTCGATTCGGAGGCGGCGGCGCCGAAAGCGAAGGGCGGTCGACGCCTTTCGGCGCCGGCGGATCGTCGGCCGGGGTCGGCCCGACGGATCGGCGGGGGCGCCGCGAGTTGCCACTTTCGACCGCCAGGGCTCGCGAGCGTCTTCTACGCACGTTTACGCACGTTGCCATATGGGCGGCCGCCGGAGGCCACGCCGGCGGCCAATCAATCGGATTGTTATCAGCTGATAAAAAATAAAAAACACGCACAATTTTCAAGTTCCCCTTTGAGACTGCGAGCGAGCGAGCATTAAGAAGAAGAAGTGGTGGCGCGGCTCGCGCGAGAGAGTGTATTTTGAGCTTTGTACGCATATGTACATCAAGGTTACAATGAAAAGTGGTGTGTGCGTTTGTGCGAACAGTGTGGCCGGCGCACACCGAAAAAATAAATTCGCCACTCCACCTCGGCCTAGGAACTGAATAAAAAAAAAAAAAACACACCGTCACGCGTCTCGCACTCGACGGAAAAATCAATATCATAGACTGAACTATTTGATATATATACAAGTTTTTTGCTATTTCACCACTTTTGAAAATTATTTTAAAAATCGGGGACTTACAATTTCGGAGGATAAGTTTGTGTACCGCACTGTGGTCCGTACTCACTCTCTAGTTGCAGCAGTCGCATTCCCGCACCCGAAATAGACCGCCGCATTGAAATTAATTCTCGAGTCCATCCTCTTGCTTGCTTGCATGTGTCACTTACTTTCTATCTTTCTTTTGTTTAATTCGAGCACTAATAATTAATCGCGATCCTCCGAGTGGTCTTTTTTCGCCGACGATGCTCTCGAAATTTGGCGTGTTTCGGAAGGAAAAATGAGTCCGACGGCTGCAGAAGTGCGTACCTGGCTAGACGCATATGAAGACGAGCGAGTGTCTCGGCCACGGCATCGATGGTGCCTCGCGTATCCCGGCCTACTGCCGACGGTCCTTGTGACGTCGTCTCTAGTGCTATGGTCGAGGCTCCCCTACTCGCTCCCCTTGCTGCGCGCCGGCTGGACCCGCGAGCCGAGCAAAACCAACCTTGCTCTGTCGCCCGCGCCGCCGCGAATTTAACACACACAGCACTCGCGCTCACTCGCTCACACACACATACAGACGCACGCGGCCAGGAATCGAACCAGAGGCCGTCTCTGAAACCAGCAAATAGGAAAATGAATCACTCGCCCGAAAATCTAGCTTTTTTTATTAATTAAATCAGATATGCAACTTAATTTGGAAAGGGCGCAGCGCTTTATTTTAATTGTGAACGCATATTTCAATAATTTTGAAATTAATGTATTTAAATTCTTATAAACAATATTTTATTTAAAAAAATGTTGATTTGGATAAATTTTTTTAGAATGTTTAAAGAAAAACGCTATAAATTATTAAATGTTCTTATTTAATTTTATTAAAAAAAAAGTTTCAAGAGATTTAATTTTAATATTAATTATTTTAATTTATTTGTATATTTTAGTTTGCTTATTTATTTTATTTTAAGTGTTTATGTACAACAAAAATTTGTATAGAATTACTGTAAATTTTGAAATGTTGTTAACGTATTGTCACTAAAATTATAAATTAAGAACTTCAAGAAAAGATTAATAGCATGAAGGAAACTTATATGCAGACTCGTCTCTCTTACCTTGTATTATTTCCGAGAATAAAAATGTCCTTACCAAGATTTGGCCACCAGCTGACGATATCAGTATATTAAAAATTCATGCTTATTTTATAGGTAACTTTTATTCCTATTAAAATTGAAGTTCTTTCAAATAGCAATATTTCATACTTTTTTCTTCTGAATGAAATCAAACGAGGACAAGAATTTTTTCATCACTCTAATATATCATGCGCATGGAAATATTTTTGAATTGTTGTTTTTTCTTCTGATTTCTAAAATTAAACAAATAAGAAAATTTATTACAATTGCCTCAAAATAAGTTTTTACAAAATGTTATCTGACAGGAGTTCTGATATGTCAAATTGAATAAAAACTACCAATATGTTGTTGATCCTTAATAAACTTTTTAAATTTCAACACATAGAAATTAATATTGACTTCACGCACTTTTTCCTAAACCCTGAAGGGCCTCCAGATTCGCCAGACTGAATTATATCAAGCATGAAGTGCAATTCTTTCTTATCGAAACTTGGGTACCTCGCACGTGTGCCGCGAATAATAGAATTTTGTCAACCAATACAAGAGAGAAAATGACTCTCACGCAAATAATAAGACGCAGTGGTAGTTAAAATAAATTAAAATATGACAAAATACAGAATACACTTGATTTGAAGTGCATAAATAAAGCGAAAATCGCGACGAGCGACGCGACGGGTGAGTGACCCAAATAATTTTCCGCAGATAAGAACGCACGCGTAATAATCTTCGTCACTCATGCACTTGAAAATTCGCCGCATGCAAATCGAAAAGTGCAAAAAGAGGGAGAGCGGAATTAGCAAATGATGAGTTCACACGCACGCACACCAAGCGTTTGCAAAATGCGCGCTGCAGATTCGGGGGTATTGACACCGGCGGCGGCACCGACCGCCTCTTTCACTCGCTCGCCTCTCGCACTTTTAACACAAAAGCAAGTTTTGGCTGCGCCGCGTGTTTGTCTCGCGGACGCACGCGGCTTTTTCCGTACGCATCGATTTTCCATCGAACCCGCGCCGCGCCTTTTGTTGCCCCTCGGATCAAATTAGGCGTCGCGACTCAATCGATCTCGTTCGTCCTAGGCTGGGAAGAAATAATCCAATATTTGCAATTATTAATTTATAGTGGTTCCTTTTTTTTAATGTCGAACAATTTCTCTTTTCAAAATTGGCCAAAAATATGGTTTTAACAAATAGACCAAAACTAAAATACATTTTAAAAATAATATATAGCTTAAAATTATTAAATTAATAAAATTTCCAAGTAAAATTTTAGTCAAAACAGGGGTTTGAGCTAATTAAAAAGAGGCTTTTGCAAATAAACGGCCTGATTTATTTTGATAGGAGACATAATGAGCAAAAATGAAATTATTGGGAGAGCTGAATTTCACAAATTTAACATTATTTCATAAGGGAATTTTCTAAAATAATTTATTTCTTAAAATTAGCCCAACCAAAATTGATTTCACCAAAACACGATCTTGTATCAACTAATTAAAATGGAAAAAAGTTTCCAATAAATATCAGAAGGTCAGTTTCGGCACGTTAAATTTACATTGATCTTATAGGAAAAGTTTGAAAAGTTTTAGTTACATGGATTTAAAAATCATAATCTTCTTAAAATATAGAAATTAGACAACAACAAACACTCTGCGGTGGATGAATTTTTTTATCTTTGGAAGTGTAAGCAACATTTCTTGTTAATGGTGGTGCCGTTTTGTCTAACAATTCAATTTTTCCATCTCATAACAATGGATTAATTTTCCACTTTTAAATTTTTATTGGAAAATTTGCAAAAACTTTTGAAATTTATATAATAATTATATAACTTTACTTTGTTTTACGTAAGAATAATAACATTTCCGTCTTGATTTTGAACGCATATTTTTTGCAAAGTTAATTTTTTACCATTGGGTTTCTCTCGCTTCCCGTTGCGAATAAATTACGAGTGTGCCTACCTATTCATGCAAACGCAAGTGAAAGAAAAAAGGGCATACACCAAGCAAGCAACCAACACACACGCACTAGCTCGCTCTGCTCAGATGCAAATATTGACATCAGTCGTCGCGAATAATAGGCTGGAGTGTGTTTTCTATTTGCCCTTCACAATTCCGCCGCTTTGCTAATGAGGAAAAGAGGATTGGCTTTTCGGCAAAGTCATACCCAGCTGAATTCCTCCGACAAACAAGAAGAAGAGGAAAATTCCGAGAAAACAATAATTATTCAAATTGAATTAAAGATGCTTATTATTAATATAAATTTGAAACAGAGACTTCTGATGTTGTATTATTTAAACAGTTTCTTTGTAATTTGGCAGCAAAAAAATGTGCTTTTGGGTTTTGGTCTGAAATAATTATTTTACTGCTCAAATTTGGATTCAATATCTATTCTTAATAATAAAACATACATTTCAGAGGGAGAAAAAAAGAAGTTCAGAAACAAAAATTTGATACAGGAAGTAAATAATTTGGGCTCATACATTTTTCAGTTACATAGAAAATAATGATGTTAATGACAGAAGTTAAATTCAAAAAATAGGATTTCTTCACAAAATGGGTTGGTGGCTCGCAGTGGAAAGAAAAATACTCAATTTATAACATATTAAGTAGAGTATTTATAGAGCTACAAAAACAAATTATTAATTTATTATACTATTACTAAATTCATGTAAGAATATTGTAAAATTTTACTTACTTAATTTCTTAAATTAATATTTTTAAATTTTATAATATTTAAATAAATATTTTACATTTACTAATATATAATAAATGAATTCAGTTCTTACTAATCTATTGAAGAAAATTTGTCTGCACAAACTAAAATAAAAATATGTAAACTGTATAATTTAACAGACTTCAAGTCTTTTTAACTAATCAAATTTCGGTAACTGAACTTGTTCGTGGTTTTTTAAGTTGGCTTTTAATACATTGTAATTTTTATTATTGAATAGTGAAATTTAAAAAAAATATATATATATATTGTAGATTACGTTTTTCGGAACCAAAAAGATGTTGCCCCTACGAATTTCAAGCTCTGCTATTTGTAATAATAACAATAATAAAATACTTGAAAATCTTGCCAAAACTAGCCCCAAATTACTAAATTTTGTCGAAAATTACTTCAAAACTCAAAATAATGTCTGCAGCCTGTTTTTCTTATGAAACATTGAATGACTTGAATAATCATGCAAATCAGGAAAAAGCAGATGGAAAAAATCTTAGATTGAACTAAAATTATGTCAAAAATATGTTATATTTAGTCTTTTAATACTTGCTGTGCGAGGTGAGTGGGGCATGCGTGGGGCCGAGACTTTGGCCAGAAAACGAATTGATCCGCGGCTGTGCCAATAATTTCCGTCATTTCCCATTCAATGAACCCTCCTTTTCTGCGTGCATGTGAGCGAACGAGCCTCGCGCTGCCGCACACACAATAACACACATACGTGTGCGCGCCTCATTCTCCAACGACGCCTACGTGCGAGCCTGATAAAAATTTCATTTCGTCCGCAGACGCCGCGGCCGCGCCAGCACACGCAGCTTTTTTTCGACACGCACGCCTTTTCCGAAGAATTTCAACCGGGGCTCACTTTGGGAAAAGAGACTTTTTTTAGTTTTATGGCCGCGTCGTTTTCACGAAAGCAGCGAAATTAGTGCCGCGCCGCAAAACGCACCCTGCAGATAAAGAAAATAAATGCACGCTAAATTATTTTGTGTCCACAGGAAACGCAATCGGCCCCCGTCAATTTGATAACAAAACTTTCCTCGAGCTCACATCATGGAATTGTATATAAAATATTCGTTTTTTCCCGCGTCATTCACCGCCGCCGCCGCCGATTGAATTTTATCCGCGCACCAAACCGCAATTGATGCGATAATCAGCCGGTATCCAGTTCCAATTAGTGTTTTGAAAAACGCCAATTTTTAAAGCTGCCGGCAACGTCTGAATCGATACTCCAGTTGCTTCTGGCGAGCGTCACTCACGGAATCACCCATAATACGTTATATTAATTATTGGCCAATTTTTCAACAACCGACTTGACTTTGTTATAATTTAATTATTCAAATTATATTAATTTTGGCATTTTTATGCATCTACTTTTATTATTTTTGAATAGTGATCATTTCTAAAGGGAAAAATTTTTATTTTTCATTCTACCTTGTAATTTTATTTTAAATATTCTCCTCATTTTTTTACTTTCTACAGCTTAATCAATTCAAAATTTAAAAAAAAGATAATACGTGATATTGCAGTTAAATTATACTACTTATCAAATTTTTTTAATAATAATTGAAATTAATTCTTTTATATTTTTTCTGCTCTTTTAATTATATATTAAAAATAAGTTTTTATTTTGTTTTGTTTTATCAATATTATTATATTTTATCTACATTAATTTATAACCCGACATTGCCATTCATTGTTAAACGTCCCATTTAACATGTATAAAATTATTAATAAATATTATAATTTATTGGGGTATCAAAAATAGTTTATTGATAGACATATTGATATATAGATGCAAGTCCTCAATGCACTCCTCAATCTTTTATTAAATTTGTTAAATTCGCTTTATGACGTCTTCAAAATTAAATTAATATTATTAAATTAATTCACTGGCCATGATTGCAACTCATGATAATGATAATGATAATGAATTTTCTATTTTTTTTTTTTAATTTTAAAGAATACTGGCTAAATTATTTTTATAAGCAAAACAATTACAGGCGATTAAAAATGTGTGTCTACAAGTATTGCTAGTAAAATATTGAGCACTCAGCTCTAATTGTTTTAATTCTCATGGCTGCAGACAGACAACCTCTCTTGGAAGCAGGACTTAATTTGTCGTAAATCATGTTGGGCTTGCAAATCGGCACCAAGCATAGTTTACGAGCCTCCAATTAAAATAATGAAATCAAACCAATTTGTACGATAACAGTAATCAATGTGCATACGTGGAGAGTTCGATTACTATTATACAAATTGAATACTTTTAATAACGTAATCATGCATCAAAAAGTCATAAAATTTGCGCGGCCACCTGGTGTCCGAAATGAAAGAAACCGGTTCGCCCGGCGATGGATGTCGTGTCCGCGCCGAGATTTGCACTCGATCATGTCTGCGCGTTAAATACTCTACAAAAAAAAAATCATTGCATGCGACTTCAGGTTATTAAAAAAGGAAGAAGAAGTTATATAGCCTCCCCCGCCAACACTCTAAGGGCGTCGTCGAAAAAATTTTTCTTTCTCTCGGTGCGTGCGTATGTATATTTAGAAAATTATACCTCTTTCTTTATTACGCTGCTTTTGTAAGTGGGAATGATTATTATACGCGCGCGGGAGAGGAGAATAAGTGCCTATGTATAGGACGAGATATATTTTTTTATTATTTGCAATGTTAGGTCGTGCATGACCATCATCACACGAGATCGTACCTCTTCTCTCTGCAATAATAATATTATTAACCTCTCTATATTAAACTCATTAAGATAAGCCTTTAAATCAAAGCAGCACAAACTTTATGGCGCTCGGGTAATTTCAATATTTTCAAAGTCGAATGTGTTTAACTACGTGTACGGGGTATATTTTTTTCTTCTTCTCTACACGCTCACGTTAAATAGGGCTTTAGGCGGTTTCCAGACTTTTTACGCTGCGATGAAAAGGCCATAAATTTTCAAACCTACACAAATATGCGCAGAGTGTGTGTGCTTTACGTATACGTACGTTAGCTAAGCGGGTGGCAATTAATTTATGCTAATTAATTTATGTATGATTTACTCTGCTCTCATGGGCGGAGTTTCGAGAATCGCAACAACATTTTACTCGTGGTAATTAGACGCGCCGCAAATCGTTAGTTATTATTATACGTGCTTCGGATTCGCCGCCGCCGGTTCGATTCGGACTCGAGAGAAAAATGGTAATTAGCGGGCACGCAGCGTAAATTCATATCTTGTTATAACTAATGCGAGTAGGCGTTTGGCAGCTTCCTTGGAGATTAGAGTTTTATTGCAGACTCGTTCTTCGGGCACAGCAGCTTTTATGTGTATTATGATAATTCGACTTTATGAAATTCCGCACGACCTCGCCACAGTCCAGCGATTTCCGCCTATTTCGTCTGCCTTCCGCGATGACAACTTTACTGCCCCATATTAAATCATATTTTTAGATCTTGATTCTATTAACTGAGGCTGATAAATTTATAATTTGCCTGTGAGAGGTGAAAAAGTAGGCTTAATCAAAATTGACTAATAGTTTTTAAGCAAAACTATTTCTAAATTAAGTTGTTCAAGTTCTCTATAAATAAAATTAAGGATGAAATTGAACCGTCTTTGTTCTTAATTTTAAGATAACACTGATTTAAAAAAAGACTAAATAGTAGATTTCATTATATTCATTTCTTTTCAATTAAAAAAAAAGTTTTGCACTAATTTCTTTTTAAATTCAAACGCATCTATTTAATGATATTACAATGATGATAACCTCAAAAGGCAACGCGTTGTTGTCCTTAAATAATCTTTACTCTGCATTGCGCCCAAAGTTAGCCAGTTGTAAAAAGTTCACTTTATTAATTATCATGTTACTTTCGACACTTCTTTTTATCATTCATCATTCAAAAAGTACAACAGCCTTGAATGGAATACGTTGGCAATTCAAATTTATAGCAGTTTCGGATTCAAAGCAAACTGGCCATCGCGCATTGAAATGAGAACGAATATATATAAATGTTCACTCGGCGCATGGGTGGAAATTGGGACAGGGGGTAAAACGCAACCGGGGAGACGAGCGTGCCGCGCACGTTGCCTACATTCTGACAGCAAATAGACGGGGATGGGGTTACGCAAAAGTGGTAAAATGGTATGCGGACGATGCGGTCCGCTCGGATTTGTAGGGAAAACAAAAATATTTTAATGAGAACGCAAAAAATTTCTTCGTGAAAATAGCAAAAAATTAAAATTGTAGTGCAATTTGAAGCAGGCAAATGAAATACCAACAAATCTTAAGAAACAAAATTGAGTGAAATCTATCAAATAATTAATTAAATTCAATGAATAAAATCTAAGTTAAAGATAATTCTTAATTAATTGAAATAAATGACGTGCGGAAAATGGCAAGTAATTTGCGTAAACCTACCTCTTAGAGGGCAGCGTTAGTGTCGTGGTGAGGCGGAAACGCGCGGAAAATCACATGCAGCACTAACAGGGAACACAACCAAATGAACACAATTAAAAATTTCGCCTCTCTTCTTCTTTCCGAGCGAATTCGTTTCCTTCGCCAGCACTCGAGCGAGTGAGTGCGAGTGCAGGGACTCTCTTCACCTTTTCGATGTTGCGGAGAGAGAGAGAGAGATGCACGGTGGCGGATCTGCGTGCACACCAGAGAGAGAATAGAGGAGGCTCCTCCGATCTGTACTCGTGGTACTTACTTGGCCGGCCTCCCTCTCCTTATTGCAAACTTCTAAGCTAGCTGCCCCCTTCAAACACGCTCTCTCTCTTGCGCTGCCACACACACACCTATCTCGGAGTAGAAAGAACCAACCAACGAACCTTGATGGAAATTGGCGAAAAAAGAGCAAGCCGCCGAGAGAGAGAGAGAGAGAGAAGAAGAAAATAAATAAGAAAAAAAAATCGCTCGCTTGCAGGTCTTTTTCTTTTTGGCTCGCTCGCTCGCTCGGTGAGAAGCTCCGCCGCCGCCGCCGCCGTCTATTACGGCCATGCGTGACTCGACATTATGTGCGTGATCTGCGTGCACGTTTTAAAAATGTAATAAGTTTTTCATCATCCTGGGCAAACAGTATTTAATTATAACTCCGGTAGCACCCGCGCGCTGCCCGCCCCAATCGATAATCCGCCAGGGAGTCGGATATAAATTCGAAGAAACGTTGCGTCCTTCCAAAGAACGGCCGGCCAATTTCTCAAAAACGTTTTCGCCTCACCGCTAAACCGCCGCCTGCGCTAAACTCACTCGCGCGTATTCTCTTTCTTTCGGCGGCTGCGGAAATTCGACACTGCTCTTGCGGTTTTCAGCACATTTGTTTTGCTCGCTGAAAAATTATCATTTTTCGGCTACCGTTTGCACGCGCTCTCGTCGTCCCGTCCCTTAATTATGCACTTACACTCGCGTGATTCAATTTTTTGTATCTCAGTTTTTCGCAAAGAGCAATCAAGTGGAATTTTAATATTTCCACCGAAAACGTCCAAAATTAAGCTTTAAAAGTCTTGATATTTTTAAAGAAAAGGGAGATCGTTTTCTGTTATTTCAGAACTCACAATCAAACTTTTGATTTATAAAATCTGAAACTCTTTAGATTACAAAAAAAAATGAATTAAATTAAATTTCTTTTTCAAATTTGAAGCTTTTTTCTACTTTTAGCTCGTTTTTACAAACGTTTTGGTGGATTAAGCTCCTTATAATGTCATACCTACCATATTAACAAGTTTATTCATTATGGCAAATATATGAAAATTTTGAGTAAAATGCACCTGATGAAAAAAATTTTTATTTTGATTTTTCCGTTATATTTTTATCAAAATTTTATTGGTAATCATACCAGGAACAAAAAAAAAGCCCTGCCAATTTGCTTGAAGAAGTTAACACTCAAGGAGATGATCATGGATAAGAAGAGGTTGCTTTTGGTAATTTAAAAATTGTTTATTTAAAAACAAAACGGCTCTATCAGTTTTGGTCACAGTCTGCGACCCTTTCCATGAATAAGAAAAGTACAAAAAATCAGTAAAATTGAAAAAAAATTACAAAATTACAAAATAAAATAACACTTTAAAACTATAATAATAAATAATAATAAAATAATAAAAACTATAAAACTTGAATATGTTATTTTAGTTTTCAATATTTTAATTTTTTTTTTAAAAATGTGCTTTTTTTCAAGTTGCTGATTGTTTGTATTTTTCTTGCTCATGAAATAGGGTCGCAAACCGTGACCGAAACTGGTAGAGCCGTTTTGATGTTAAATAACAACAAATTTTTTATTATGAAAAGCCTGATCCTTCATTTCCAACAATAAAAAATTATTTCGTATAGCTGGTAGATCACGCTGTTTGCTGTTTTAGTAAATAATTTTCATAAAATCCTTCATACCCAAAAGCTGCTAAAAAGTGGCACCAAAAAAGGGATAAAACTTGGAAATCCCAGCCAGCGATGACGTTTAATATTTTCCTAAATTTGACGTCATTATGAAAAAGACTTCCATAAATTTTATTAGGCTTTCGGAGTAAACAGTTTGGCAAAAGAGCGAAATAATATATTATTTCTCTCCGCACTGAGTGAAAAAAACTGCGCCCTCTAGTACGAATATCCTCGCGAGAAAATATTTTCACTATTCTCCGTAAAAGATGTGGATAAAAATTGCGGCAAGCGAGCGTATATCATATTTGCATGCATATTTCAAAATGTGGAGCATCGCTCTGGCTTGGCGGCGGCGTTGAATAAAAATCATAGAGTAAAAATGGGCGGGCGGAAAAATTTCTCTCAACTGTCATTGCAAGCTAAATGCGCATAAGTCTTTTTATTTTTGCGACGGCAGTTCGCAATTTTACAACCAAACAGAGACAATCTCGCGCAAAAACAATCGTAAAAGGTCAAGCGACCGCAGTTTTTTCGGCGTAGACGAGAAATGTGTGTTTCGCTCCGGCCTGCAGCTTTTCCCTTTGTTATGGTAAAAACGGGAAATTCCGTTCGCTCTCCATTATTATTCGCTGCGCTCAAAGAGAAATAAAGAATTATTGCTTGAATGCGTGCCAGAGCGCAGAAATTGATCGCTCCTTATTTTCGCAGGCGTCTCTCTTTCCAGCTCTAGTCTCATTGACAAACCTTTCAGGCGATGTGCGAAAATACACTTTTCTCCGCACTGTGCTCTCTGGCTCGGCGAGAGAATCAAATTAATTCCACCGCGAAGACAGGTTGACGCCGATCGATGATCGATAACTACTCAAGCCTGGCCTTTCACTCAAGAGTTGAAAGCGTTTCCCATAAAAACTGCCAAAAACTATGAATCTTTTTAGTTCAACGGAATTAAAAAATCGTAAGTTTTAAATATTAATATCAAATATCAATACCAAAGTAAATAGGTGATTTGATGTTAAACTTTGCAGGATTAAAAAAAAAATGAATTGCTGAAAACTTATGATGATTAGAATTTAAATTGCCCAAAATTAACTCAAATCTAATTGCATTATTATTCATTCAAAAGCCAATCATATTCTACAAAATTATAAATTTTTAACTGAAATTTATGAAATTTATCATGAGAAATTTTATTTCTAAGTAATTAAAACTTAAATTTATTATAAATACAAAATTAATAAAATTCATCAAACCTTATTTATTGATATTTTGTTTACTTATATAATTGTTTAATTATTTTTTATATATAATATTATTTTTTATTCATTTTAATTTTCTTTTTAAGATAAGCTTAGCATAAAATTTATGTTTATGTTTAAAAACACAACAAAATAAAAATTAGATATTTAACATATATATGTTTACACTGTTGATTGAACCTTATACGTTTTCTTAAAATTAAAAATTATCAACCATATTTTTTGCCTCTGGCTTGTGGGCTTGCGGATAGGCATTGATAATTTAATACATTACATAATTAATTCCATTTATTTCCTCATAACCGTTATTTTTTTATTTCCATTTGAGACCTCAAAAGAAAGCGTTGATTAGTTTCAATAATTGAATTTAAAAAATAACTCAATAAGGAATTAAAAGATGAACTTGAGTTTAAAATTAAATCGATTTTGAAGTTAGTTGGTTAAAAGTTAATACATTGTCTTATTAAACACCCTCACGTTTTGGTTCCGCGAACCGTTCGTTAATCCTTCGAATAGATCAGATTAGTCATCAGTGGGTACGCAAATAGCTGTGTCGGGGTCTAAAAAGTTAAATTGGGGGCACAAAAGATTTTGGTGCGATGATTTTTCGAGCGCCGAAAGCAATTAAAAAAAGTTCACGCGCTCGCTTCAAAATAAATTATCCGCCGCCTCACGTGTGTGTGTGCGTTTCCTTGAGCGACATTGTGTGCGGATATTTTCGGCGTGCTGGCCTACAATGCAATAATGAGAATAAAAGTACATACGCGAGTTGTACCTACACACACACGCTCGCTCTCGAGAGAAAATAAAATAAAGGCAGCAAGACGAATGTGTACGCGATGTAAAAAAGCGGGAGGCTCCTTTGTAATATGGGCAAGTGACACGCAACGCCGCGCTGCTGCCGAGCAGGTAATTTCCATCATCTCTCCTTCGCTCTTGGCGGCCCCGCAACTCTTTTCTAGGGCTTATGTATTTTCCCGACGCCTGCACGCACCAGTCTCGTCTCTCTCGCTAGCGTAATCATTATTTTTGCTCAAACATCATCAGCGAACGAGCAAGCGGATATTTCGATGGCCCTTTTCGGCCCCGGCAAAAAGTAAGCAAGAAACCTTTGTTGATGCGTCGTCGGTAATTATACGGCACGCAGCCATGAACTTCACTCCGCGCGCAAATTGCTAGATTTCCGACCAGCTCAAATTCAAAACAAAAAAAGGGTGAAAAAAAATTCAAGAAGTTGGCCAGATTTTAAGTTTTTTACACCAGAAAATACAATTCCATCTCTCTATTTAAGTGATGTAATTAAATAATAATGACTACTCTGAATTTTATTGCGTGCAGTCACAAAAATTAGCATAAATTATATCAACAGAACAATATAAAATTGGGAAATTTGTTGGAAAATCTATTGAAATAGTATTTTTTTTTTTCAAATAATTCGTCCCAAAATCCTTAATTATATAGCCGAATATTGCGATATCCTGATACATTTTAGATAAAAAATTAGAGCATTTTTTACTTCAATTTTGTGTTTTAAATTTTTATACAATTTGAACAAATTTGAACAAATTATATTCAAAAAAGGACTTTTTTAATGAAATTTCGAATCCATTGCTGGGACCGTTCATGAATGATTTTTTTTGTTACGAGCACCACTCTGATTTTTAGATATGTTGTTAGGGTTGATGAGAAACTACTTTGACCAAATTTTGAGACAAAAATATTAATTACTTTTTGAAATGTTCGGGTTTTTTTAAAAACTCAAAAAATGCTTATATCTTTGCTCGTATTAATTTTAAAGTGTTGAAATTTTACCCCAGTAGATAACTTTCTGTTTAGAACAACTTTGCTGTTGACCAAAATGTCGTAGGTCAAAGGTCAAGGTCACTAAAATGCATTTTGAGTTTTAAAGGCCCATTTTCTCAAATAAAAAAAAAAAAAGTATATTTTTGATATTTTTTGTGTAATTAAAAAAATGTAGGCTGTTAAATTCTTAATCTGGTCAGTGATATTCG